AGGGTAGCGGCGGGAGGCGGAAGAGGCCGACGCCCAGCGGCGATTGTGATAGCGGGGAGCCACCGCCCCACGACGGCTGACGTGAGCCGTGGGTTCCTGCGCCCTGGGGACACGGCTCCCACCCTGCCCCGCAGCAGGGGCGCGCGTCTGGGCGGGTATCCCTGGCTGTGGCAGCCCTGCCTTGAGAGGATGGGGATCCTCGTGGAGGGGGTGCCCCCGCCCTGTATGCTTCCCGTTGGTGCTGGGCATCGGCGCCCATGCCTGTCACTGCTGCACTTGGGCAGGGTGGGTGGAACATCCCCTCTACGCTGTGGTTTTCCTTATTCATCTTATTATAAGACGAAGAAGGTCCGTATGAGCCATCAGTGTGCTCTTGCAGCCCAGAAAGCCAGAAGGATGCAGGTCGAGGGAGGGGATTCTCCTCTACTCCAGTCTTGTGAGACCCCACCAGCACTACTGCATCCAGCTCTGTGGTCCTAAGCACCACACGGGTGTTGAGCTGTTGGAGCGACTCCAGAGGAGGCCACGAAGATGCTCAGTGGGCTGGAGCACCCCTCCTATGGAGACAGGCTGAGAGAGCTGGGCTTGTTCAGCCTGGAGAAGAGAGGCTCTGGTGAGACCTTAGAGCAGCTTCCAGTGTCTAAAGGAGTCTGGAAGAAATCTGGAGAGGGACTTTTCACAAGGACATGTAGGGACAGGACGAGGACAAATGGCTTTAACCTGACATGTATATATGACAGAGATAATTAGATATTTGGAAGAAGCTCTTTGACTATGAGGGTGCTGAGGCCCTGGCACCAGTTGCCCCGAGAAGCTGTGGCTTCCCAGTCCCTGGCAGTGTCCAAGGCCAGGTTGGACGGGGCTTGGAGCAACCTGGTCTAGTGGAAGGTGTCCCTGCCCGTGGTAGGGGGTTGGAACTGGGTGAGCTTTATGGTCCCTTCCAACCCAAACTGTTCTATGATTTTCCTTTCACACATTTCATAATGCAGGTGGATGGTGAAGTGTTTTGCTGGAGCGAAGCATAAAGGCAAGGCTTGGGCAGGAGGTGACTTACTTGCTGTTAACAGGACTCCACAGTCATGTCTGCAGGCAGGGATCCCCATTGTATCAGGCAAGGGGTTCTCTGCCACCAAAGGAGACCCGCTGCCCAGGGAATAGAGATCTTACAGAGCAGCTGGACGCTGTTACTCAGGATTTGCTTTACCTCCTTGCTGTGCTTAGAGAAGGCACATCAAAATAAATACACCTTTTCAGAAATCATGGCATATCAAATTATTTGAATTGGTTGTGTGAAGGATTTTATATGTATCCCTGTATCTCTAGGAAGTTGCATGTTTCCTGGATGAAGCCAAGGAAAGATGAGCACTGTGCAGGTTGAAATATGAAGTAGAAAGCGTAAAATACAACTTCTAATGCATATTATATACCTAGATGACGTCTTCTTAGAATCAGAAATCCTGTTCAAGTTACTCCATTGGGAGCCTCAGAGGCTGCAGCTCTCTGACCAGGCAAAATTTCCTGGACAGACCCATTTCTTCTTATTCAAAGTGAGCTAATTCTGTTTGTCTGATATGTTTTTTAGTAGGTTTCTCTACTCCAAGGTTCAGGAATGCTTGACATCTGCAAAAGAGTGGTTTCAGAATCATTTGACATGGTACATGCATCCCAAGTGCTATGTCATTCATCCACTGATTTCATTTACAGTATGATATTGGCAATTGGGATTAAGGACCAAAACAGGGAGGAGAGAAACTGCCAGCAAAGGGGGGGGAGTAATACATTGCATAATAAAGAAGTAATCAATAGCAGCCAACTAGAGGAGGACAAATGGAAATGTGACAGATTCACAATCAGCCAGATCCCCAGTCCACTGGAATCACAGGGTTTGGGTTATGCCTAACACTGTTTCTTTTAGTACCATGTGCATTGCTGTGGTCGATGACCATAATGGTACTGGTATTTACGGAAGATTGTTTTAAGGATTTTGTGATACCAAGAGGGAAAGAAAAAGAAAACAAATTTGGAATATAAGTGGGGAGGGGAAAGTAAGCGGTGTAATAAATGAGAGCAACATCAGTAGAGGAAGAAATAGATTCCCTACTGAACTTATCACTGAGCTTGAAGGATTTGTTTTACTTTAAAAAGTATTCAGCCACAAAATATAGAACATGAGAACACAAAATTTCAAGCCTAGTGCATTCAAACTTCCAGCGCTTTCTCAGTATTCAAGGTACAGTTTTGCTTCCAAATTCTCTCTCCTTGAGCAAAGGAGCAGCTTTACTTGTCAGTCAGGAAAGCAAGCCGTGGAAATCAAGTGACAGTAAGTACACCGTGTTTAAAATGGAATGCCTTTTGCTCCAGAATCTTAAAATGCAATAAAGACATTCATAAAGTCTCCCTTCACAATGCTCTATAAAAGGTAGCAATATTACACTCCTCTGCTCCCCCAGTGGCTGTGGAGGAAGCTTGAAACTTTTTTTTTTTTTTAATAAAAGGAATATTTTTTAGAATTTCTGATGCTCAGTAAAGACCTCTGTTCATATCCCTATTTAAACATTCTTTAAAATATTTGCCTGTGTTTTTTTCTTTTCCCATTTCTATATTTGTGAGATTATTTTCGGTGAGGGAAAAATGGACTGGCTCTTGCCATAATCTTTCAATGCCTGTATCAAGCTCCATGTACAGCAATTTGAGAATGGATCTGTATTTATGCAACAGTAACATTTAAATGCCAAATGTCCTTCCATGGGCAAGGAGAGCAAGCCAAGGGAAGACAAACTATTTTGCTCTGGTTTCCTTAATTAACTTTGATTCTCCTCTGTGTGTGTATATATGTTTGGGTCTCCCTTCTTATTCCAAGTAATAACTTTCCTTGACCAGTCTAAGTCAAACTGAACACCAAGGCAGAGCTTTCAAAAATGCGAAATTCTCACCAGATATGTGACAGTGTGCAGAAAAGAAAAAACTCATTGAAAGTGCTACTGAACTACAGCCTCAGCCCATACTAGTTGATCGAGAATGTACGTTGCAAACAGAAGATAGGAATAATGCAACTGGCTGAAGACTTAAACTGGTTTCACATACTATAAGACATCCGGGAACACAGCCATAAGCCATAAAAGCAGTACTAGTTTCACTTCGCCTGGAGCTTTTTTGTTCTACTGTTACGTTATCTTATATGACCAGGTTTTATTTGCTGTTCTCTGTTACTCCTAGGTCACTTTCAGGTCCACTGATTTCCTGGAAATTCAGTGTGACCTGTCTGTGAAGACATTTCTTCCTGGGAGCATTGAGCTGTATCTTCTACAGTGTGATATTCTGCTGCTTCTGTTCTCTCTAGGGTGTTTTTGTTGTCTTTGGTATGTCTTTATTCTCCTAAGCTGGTATGAACTGCAGGTTTCATTAGAATTTTCTTAACTTTGTGATTTTGGTCACTTTATTTCATGCATCAAGCACCACCCCTGGAGAATACCAATAAGCAAATCGTTGTGAATCAAAACTTTATCTTTTGTTATTCTCTATTTAAGGTTCTGCAGCCTAGTTTAGATCTACTAGAAATCTCCATATCCCACCCCATCCTATCATTCCCTTAAAGTAATTTTTAATTAATTTTTAATCCAGAGGCTTGGCTGGTAAGCACAGTTAGTGAGAATATGAATTTACAGCATACTAATGCCCACTGATCTCAATTCCACCCACAGCCCAATACCCAGTACTTCTTATTGGTGTGGTGTATGTACATCAGACCTGAATTAGAGCCAGTGGCAAATGCTGGACAATGCAACTGGGGAGGAATTAAGGGCATCTGAATATAATGCTTACCATACAGTGAAAAGCAGCTTAGTTCAGCTTGTCTTTTAACACTGCTGGCGTTTGGTAGAAATTAGAGTAGCTAACTTCATCAGCAGACAGCCTTCAGAATCTGAGATTTATGCTGGATTCTAGGTTATTATGTATGGTATATTAAGACAGAGGGGGCAGATAAATACATAAGCTTGAAACTGTAAACATTGTGTACAAAGTACAGATGGCTATATGCATCATTTTTGGCTTACTGAAAAGCACAAACTCACGATAACTATAGCTTTTGGTGCTGACTATAATATATCTCAACAGATTGGTATTATTTTAAATGAGGGCCATGTGCTTAAATGGTTAAACCTGCACGGCATATATTTAAACTGACCCTTTCCCACAGCCTCCTGTGCTTCAAAACAGATACAGTCACAATTCACTTTTGAGATAGAGAATAAAGAGAAATTATTGTTTATGAAATTTTCTTCATATTAGACATGTTGCCTTCTTTCATGTGTAGGTGTGAATGCGTAGGAGAGAATTGATTTTGGCAGGAGCAGGGTGAAATGCAGGTGGGTGGGGGATGTCCAGGATCACTGGGAAATGGCGAGTTGCTTCCTTGCACAGAAGCAATCACAAAGATAAGAAGAAGAAGGATCTTAGGGCAAGTAAGATTTACAGAACAAAGCGAGGAAAAGCATTCAGATCCCCCGAGTGAAAGAATTCAACTGCAGAAACACCAGTTCAGCCGCGGCAGTTAATAGTAATGTATTAGTTTGTTGCATAACTACTGACTGTTGGATGTTTGAAAATGCACTGACATCAAGTAACCATCTTGTAATGTACTGCTGGTCTAAACAGACCTTTATCTTTATAAACCATAATTGGGGATCAATCATTAGTCAGTAAGCACATAACCTACCCTATCCACACAGCCAGAGTGAGAACTGGTAAATAAATGACAGGGCAAAAGGGAATTGACAGTCTGGGCAAATTGTGTGTGACCTCGTGTCTCACATGCTTCAGAGTTTGTTGGAGATTCACAATCACCCCCACCCCTGAAGTACTTGGAGGTTAGTGACGCTAGAGTTGGAAAACTAATGGAGCCATTTTACCTTTTCTGCCTTGCATGGTAAACTTGCTAGTGATAAGACCTGAGTCCATTTTCTGCTGCAATACCTGCAAAAGCTTCATGAATTGCTGAGGAAGGGGTGCAGATCCAGACTGATGGAAAGCTGTCATGCTTGGCGTTTATAATATTTAAAATATTGAAAATACATAGATACAAAATTATGTATCTATTGTGTTTATCTTTACTCACATTCTATGTCATGTATGTTAAAGTGTAAGCCCGTTGGATTTGGTGACAGGTGATACATTTTTCCACTCACTGTGGTGGGCTGGAGTTCCTGCTTTACAGTATGTGGAAATTAACAAGAAATGTGGTAACATGAGCCAGAAAAAAAGCCTAAAAAGGTACTAAACAAGAGTGTGATAGAACTTAAAGCACTTCATATTTATTGTACATTAAATAAAACAATTTCAGTTCAGTTGAGAGACTGATGGGTTGGATTTAGGAAACCAAAACTTCTAAAGGAAGATATATTCAGCATAAATGATCATTAAGTACATATGCATTATGTATGTTATAGTAAAACTGTATTCTGTTAAACAATTCTCAGGTGAATAAGATACATTATCAAAGAGGTATGTTTTCCAAGGGTCTTATTGCACAGCTACTGGCTAATCCGTGTACTTTCAGTCTGAGAAAGATATGCTTTGTACCACCAAGTACAAACTCTGACTACCTCCTCAGGTTTATTACACAGCATCTCCTCTTTCTTCATTAAAAAACAGAACACAGTATCAAACAGAAAATAAAGCTGAACATTACAGAACATTTGTTGTCTTCAGTTCATTTCAATTCAACCCAAAGCAATCCATGCGTATTCTTTCTTTTCAGTAAGAGCAGGTAGGGAAAACGAAAACAACAAATAAGAAACAAAACAAAACAAAAAAAAAAGAAAAATGAAAAAAAAAAAGAAAAATAAAAAAAAAGAAGTTCCCCAACCACACATTTGTTCTGTCATTGCAAGAACTAAAATGCTGTAATTCTGCTACCAATTTCCAGTGCAGTGGGGGGAAACACTGTGGACGGACTCTCACTTCCCCTCAGTTTTGTCTGCCTGTACTTCACGCATGTATGAATCAATGATATGGGGAGGCACGCCATCCATCAGTAGTCTGAAGAACGAAAGCCCACCTACAAACAAGGAATAAGACACTCTTCAGGTTGAAGCTCCCTGGAGCGACACCTTGTACCTTTATTTTCTGGTGTGAGCAACAAAGATTTAGTCAGTCCCTATTGCATACTTCATTGTGTGATGTGATAAAATTAATCCCTGTTCAAAAGTTCAGCGCAAGAATTAACCATTATTTAATCCCTGTACTATACAGAGCTTTCCTGTCTTCTTGTACATAATGAATTTCATTTCTAGGATGTCATATATTCATTTATCTCTCCCCCATGCAATAGTCTGTGGTAAGCTTCACCTCAAATAATCCTCCTGGACTTCCATCAGGCTGGGTGGAGTATAGTGAGAGACGGAAGTCAGCCCAGGGGGAACAATATAGAAAAAAAAACTGACTATGATGAGTTGTGGAAAACATGCAGACATTCAAATTATTTTAGTATTGGGTATTATAATGGTTTATAAGTATTTAGCAAAATATTTACCATGTTGCTTGAAAATAACAGGTGGGATGACATATGTGAAAGAATTACATGAAATAAAGCCAGGATTTTGGATATTGGTACCTTTGGACTCCAGAGAGAGGTGATGTAAGCTGAAACTTTCATCTGTTGGGGAATTCTGAAGAAAGATTTTGGATTCACTTTTGAATAAAAAATAAACCACACGTCATCACCTTGGATCCAGGTGCTTACTCCCTGAAAGCAATTTCTTCCTGAATTTTCCCAGGGCTTGAAGCTATTGGTATGTGATCTCAAAGCTGTAAGAAGTTTTGCACTGATCCATAGGGGAAACTTACTTATTCCATGCTTGGGGCCACTATCTTCCTTAGTGGGAGGACTGTGTGTCCTGGCTCACAAGCCCTGATGACAGATAGGGACGTTTTGTACTCAGTGTTTCCTCCAGCCCTGCCAAAACTTCTTTTCCTTTCTATGTGAAACTAAACTTCTTTTTCCTCCCACTTTTCAGTCCAGTGGTAGTTGGAGCCAATATTCACTGAACAAGCATCAGAAGTACTGTTCCCAGCTTTTTAGGTCTATGTACTTTATGGCTGTGGCTCAGCCATGATGAGTAAAAAACTGAACGAAAACCTATTTTAAATTACTGCTATAATAGAAACCTGGGCTTATAAGAAAGCCATTGGAATGCTCAATGTTTTCTTTGGTGTTCTAGAAAAAAAGGACAAGGCAAAAGATTTTTGAAGAGCATTTAATTTTTGTCCAAGGCAAAATATTTCTTTCAATGCCCAGAAAAAAAACATACATGCAGTGTCTAATAGACCAGGCAGGGCATCCCAGATCCCAGTGACATAGAAGCATTAATTTAGCGAAAATAATTCAAATCAGGAGTGAAATTTCATGTAACTGAAAAATTTTACTGAAATAAAATGTCATTTGGAAGGAACAGTGGGAAAAAGATAAATATTTTGCTAAAAAACATTAGGTTCTACCCTATCTCAAGGCAAAGGATGGCATTTGTTGTAAGAAAGCTACATACCATTACTGTTCCTCTTACAAATCTGCATGAATATTCTGTTCTGCAAATTGCAAAACCACCTGCTAATAACTGCACTTACCTTCTGAGCCCTTTCTGGAACACACCAAAAGCTTTAAAGCAAAAATACATTGGAAAGATGAAGATATCGCTGTCTCTGCTTCAGCTCAGTGCAACTGAGCTGATACTTACAGTGTTTAGCCTGAGTATAGATTTTAGGAATTTATAACCTTTATTAACACAAGGATTATCCAATTAAAGTGCAATTAGTTACTATTGATTATGAGACTGTGCTATCTCATGTAACACCATCATTGTTGCAGAACTGTTCACTCCCGACCATAGGTAGATGCACAATACAGACAAAATAAAAAAAGAAAGCATGCTTTTTGGCATTCTTTTCAACTCATGTAGTGCAATTGTGATGAGAATCATTCGTTTTTAAATGAAATTAACTGTGGAATAAATATTTCAGTTATGTAGAGGTATATTCCTATATGAGAATAACTGTAAATGAAAAATGCTGTTTTATTACTTGCATTTTGTTCATGCTAATTAATCATGCTAACTCATGCACTCTTAAATTCCATTGAAATGTGCACTATTAGAAGGTAGTGGGATGTACTAATTAGGAATTACCATAGCAAGCAATTTTCATAAAAATCTGGATATCTGTGCATTAAAACTGTCATGCTACTCATTATGAAAAAAATTTTCATTAAGTGAAATAATGAAAATCATGCCATACTAGGCAGACATTGTATGACACATAGTCATAAGCTTCATATGCAAGAGCCATATGAAAGCTTACCTTAGATGCCAATATACATTCAAAAATCCTTATTGTGTAACTAAGAGAAAGAGAGAAAGAGAAGTAACAATTTAATAGCAAACACAAAAGTAGAGAGAAAATGTTGAGTGAAATTATGCTTACGATTATGTCAAGATGATGTTTTAATCCTTAGTCATGTAAAGTATGTAGGAATAGAAACACATGAAGAGTAAAAGGTAGGGAACCAGTTCCACTTCAAAATGATCATTAATGTGTAAAGGCTATATTAATATCTACAAGTAACTATGAATCTTGTAATTAGTCTAAAGTATAGATTGGAACCAAATTATGCAACTAACATTTAAGATAAATGTTTCCAAACGTAGCTTCAAAGAAGCTAACACATATATATATATAGTATTTTCCACCAGGGAAAAAAAAGCACACACATAACACTGAAGCATATATATATATGTTGAAACTCAGTAAGGCAAAATAATCAAGTACAGACTAATTACATACCTGTGTACTATAGTATGTACTTTGCCATATATCCACATATACATTACTTAAAGCATGCTTTTTATTCTATAGGAGCCCTTATCTTTAATTAAGCATTTTGACTGTATAAAACACACATAAATATATACATTTCTATTTGTGTATGTATGTAAAAGCACTCAACTTTGTAGCTATTGTAGCCTTTTAAGAAAAAAAAACCCTTAATACTTCAAAAACTACAGGTAGTCCGACTTCTTAACATGTTTTTGGTTTGAAATAGTAAATTTGGAAGCATAATATACTGCAGACTAGCTTCTGTGCACTTCTGTCATTTTAAAATTGCGCTGTCAATATTCTAGATTTGGGCAAGGTTACAAGCAAACACCTTTCTATAGAAAGAGCCAAATTCTCTGAACACTACAGAACCTGAATTTAAAATAAGTTCTAGAGGAAATGAAGTAAAATTATATCTTTGTAACTATAAAGTTTTCACTGATTTCATTTGTATCAAGATTTCATCCTCAGATTCTGTAGGTTAAGCTTAGGCATGGGTTGTAATTCTGAGAACTAACTTGTAACCAAAGACTAATCTGTAATAAGGAATGCCTTTTAAGCACAAAATATTACTATGATACTTCTGCTTTCAATAATTCTACAAACTACCTGAGAGCTGGGATTTTTTAAATGCAAATTTCTATCTCCTGGAAAGATCTAAAGGTTTTGGTCAAAGATCATCACAATAATGAAATAAATTGATAGGTAACAGGTAGTTCTATGCCCAATGGCATAGCAGAACTATGTCTAAACCCTTCATAACTGATGTTAAAAACACATATTCTTGATTAATTTGGCCTTCTTTGCTCATGTGACATACATTGTATGCCATGAGACGCTAGCTACTTTAATCTAAAAAAGCAAATAAATACACACTTTGCATGCAGAAAATGCATTTGCATGTGGAAAGAGAGGAAGGGAATGAAATGGAATACCCAGAGGAGTATGCTTATTATAAACCTGATTATTCCCCGCCAAGAAGAAGGGTTCTCCTGGGTTAATTACTCCTTGATATATCACTGCAGAATTAGAATATTTACAGTGGTATTTATTCACATTTGAAATTTTTCCCAGTTGATTTTTACACCTTTTTAAAACATATTTCTCATACAGCATATTTTCTACCATCAACCTATTAGAATGACCACCAACCTTCATTTCGCTTGTAAGATAAACATCCTTTAAACCCATTTGTTTCATGATAAAAGAAGAATGATAAAAGAAGTATGGTGCTCTCTCTGAACCTTTTCATTGACCTCAGTGAAGCTGACAAGGAATCATTTCCTTGCTGCTTGCAATAGGAGATTTACAGCCATATTTCACAATCCATCTCAACAGATTTAAAAGATATATGCAATATTTTCTGTAGTAAGATGAATGCAAAACATTTATAATCAGGTTCTGTGTATGCTTCATCTTCCAAGATATGTGAGGTAGAGTTATTATTTTCTGTAAGACCTATTACTTGACTTCTTACAGCACACTTGTATTTACAATAAAAGCCATTGTATATGCAATTGTATGGAGCAGCTTATAGAACTGCCACCCTTAAGTTCACTCAGAAAACTTAAAACAGAAAAACAAAGTACTGCCTGTCTGAAATAGCATCAGTACAAGTGAAACCTTTTCTGAGGACAAAATGAAATTTTATAGTCTTTACTATTGTGCTCATAATTATCACTAGAACTTTTTCAGGAAGTAAGTATTACATGTAGTAGCAACGAGGTGCTTTAATTTTACACCTAAAATAATATCAGCAAATAGCTTAAAAAGTAGAAAATTGTAGCATACTGATAGTATTCATAGCCAGAGTATTCGTAGGTACACGGTTGTTTAAATACTATGCAAAATCAGAAATATTAGACTGTTCTGCGAGTAGTTCTATGACATTCATAGGACTGAGCACATATATATATATATGTATCTATCTAAACTTTAGATCTCCAGTACCTCAGAAATAATAGAGGGGTAAAAGAAATTCTGGCCAACATAACTAAAAGTCACTACAATATATACTGTTGCATGACATAAAGCTGTTCAGCATGGCTTACTATCCAAAGATCTGTAATACCAGGGTGATTTAATATTCAGAGATCTGTGTTAATAGCACTGTAGCTAGTACGTTCACCAGATAGGTAGCATAGCCTTCAGCCTGTTGTTCTTATTCAGGTAACATTCAACTGTATCTCAGAATTTTATGAATCCAGGCCTTGATTGTTACTTGCTGGAATAAAGCTGAACCAGGTCAAAGTTATATATGTGCTATAAACACACACACAAACACACTGCAATCCGTTTCCAGTGAGTCAGAAATCCGTAAGTCTTTACTCTGTGTCAGTGTGATGAGCAGTCATCCGAGGAGCCCTCCTAAATGAATAAACAGGCTGGCAAGTTTAAGAAAATGGTAATTCAACACTTAAGTCAATAGAATAGTGAAATAAGATGCAATTATGTTTTTATGCTCTGGCTGTTTAATACTTATTTGCATTTGTCTGTATCATATAGCAAACCCTGAACCTACCCTGGTTTGCCAAGCTACAGCTGATGTATTCACTTAATCCTATTCTCTTTGAATTCATCAGTTGAACTGCCAGTCATGTTAAGAGTGTCAGCACTGAACTCTTACAACAGCTGTTCTGTGTCTGAGCCTTACAAATAACTGGTCTAAGCAGCCTTCAAAAAGGAGCCTAAAATAACAGCTAAACCCACCAGGATGGAGAGAGGAATCTTTGAAAGGGTGAGCACTCACAGCCCAAACCATTGGGAGAGAACCACGATACCAGGCTTTGTGGGATGGGGTAGGACTACACCAGGTGATGGTAGATAGGAAATCAGATTCATAAAACAACCATTTACTAGGGGAGGTGGGGTTTAGGTTATGAAGCAGTCTAACACATAGCCTAGGTAGGATTCTAACAGCCTGCATTTTTCAGGACTTCTTCCAGACGGGATGCAAAACAAAAGCACTGCTCAAATACACTGTCTGTGACACAGTATTTGTTTTTTTCCAGTTGATTTCTTAACGTAAATATTAAGTTCTTTGAGAATAGGCTTTTTGAGTCTATAAATGTCTATGTTACAAACAGTCAGTGAGTGTGAGAGGTTTTACTTAAAAGTGAGGAAGGATGAAATAAATCTTGTCAGAAGGAAGTAATTCTTGCAGCCTCATTCTCACTGTAGCAAAGATATGCTCAGCTGCAACCCCAAGGTGCCAGAGGAATTGCGATTGTAGGACATGATGCAACCAGCTGATAGGATGATTAATGCAGCCTTCAGGACATGATGCAAAGGCCATGCATCGATCCAAGGCTTCCTGTGGGATGAATGATCAGGGGTATACTTGAAACTCACTGAGGTGCTAGCATAAGTCAACAATATTAAGAACTAAGTCAGCCTCTCAGACTCACAGATCTAGAAGCAATCCGGAGATGTCATTTAGTGCATATCATAACCCTAACACATCGTACTGCTGTCATTCTTTTAAACTCCTTTTAAAGGCTTTTGATACCAAAAGCTGTGCAGCAACCTCTGCAGTTGTGCTTCATTCTGCTGACTGTTGTCTACATGAAATGTTTGCTGATGTGTTGCCAGACATAACTTTTTTGTTTTAATCTTTAGTGCAGCCATTATGGAAAGAATCATCTGTGAACTGAGTCTGGCAGCCTGTGAACACGGTGCATTATTTACTCTCTGTTTCAAAACACTACTCAGAAAACTGGACCTATGAAAGTTAAACATTTGTGAGCAAAAATCATTGAGGGCATAATCTCAGTTGTACACTTTACTGAACAGAACTGTAGCTTTTTTTCCCCTATATATATTGATTCTGATTGACTAGAAAAGGATCTAAGGATTCCCAACCTATTTCAGATGCCAATCCATAAATGTCTATAACTTAAGAAATAAGATTCCCCACCAGCAGTGGTCAAAGGCAATAAAATCTCTCCACACTTCTCTCTTAAAACTCTAATATAGAGCAGCTTCCACTGCTGGTGAACAGTTTATTAGAAATGGTTGCATATTGGAAGACAGCCTGAATGATGACATTGTGTTTGTATATTATGCTTCAAAACCAGTCCTGATATTCAGTGAAAAGAAGTTCCAGTACCAACAGAGCATCTGTATTTCACAACAGCTGGAAAAAGAATTACTGAAGAATAATATGTAATCCATGACAACATTTGGAGTTTGTATTTCCTAAAATGGAGAGATATTAGTTAAATTATTTCTTATCTTAAAAATATTTCACGTTACTCTGTACATTACATAAAAAAAGATTTCTTTGTAAAACAAAGGACAGAAATAAACAGCTTCTTGTACTTAAAATGTAGTATTTGGTTGTACTACAAGCAAAGCGCTGAAGATCAAAAGCTACAACTGAGTGTAAATGTGCATAAGAAATTTAGGGCTTGGGGACTTAGGGAGTTAAATGAAATAGCAAACTAACTTGGCCTTTGAGTATAAAAAAAGATGAAGCAACCTTCTCACGTGATGAGGTCTTCTGTTACGCTGTGAAAGTTTGCTTGTGATTAAGGAAAACAATCATATATTCAGGATGAGGATATCACTTTTTAAACACAGTATCTTAAAAATAAATCATGAAAATTAAGAAACATATGCATATTTTCATTTTATATCAGTTAAAAGTTCAACTTCATAAACAAAACATTTATTGCACTGGCTTTCTGCTAGCAGATTTGAGCTGTGGGACAAGATACATCAAAAAACACAGGAAATGGAATTGAAATCCAAAATAAACAGTACAATCTATAAGGGTATTAACTATTACGGCTTTCATTATAGACTGTCATGATGGCAATAGTATAATTAGGGCCATATTCAGCTAGTTTAAATATCCAAGTTAGACCCTTCTTGTCAGCTGGTTTTAGGCAGTTTTCCTTACTTACAACTTTGTACTATTTTTTTTTTCCAGGAATACTTAGCTTATTCTGCAGTTGAAACTAAAGCCTTTGGTGATAGTCCAGCTAAATATGACCCCATCTTTTCCTAGGAAGTAGAAATATATGGTACTGAGATTATTCATTAGTAGTTGAATTCAAATCCTATTGCCATTCATGATACCCCAGTCAATGCTAAACCATCTGGAACTCATAAAATTTATCTATTAATAAAAATAAATATATGTCTTCAGTTGTAGAAGGCTAACTTATTTTGCAAAATCCATAGTTTTGAATACTTTGTTCTTAAAGCAAGTGCAGCAATTAAAGCAGCTGGCTTGTGTCTTTGAGAACAACAGTGGGTTTTACTACATGATTTTGCTAGCAAAGTTCCTTGGAAGAAAATGTTTGGTTTGTTCAGTAAGTAATTTCTAAGTAGAGAATGTCTGCCCTGAGCTAATCTTTCTTCCTTCTCTCCTTTTCCCCTTGCCATTTCCTTCAGAGATCTGTCTGCTACCCAAGTTGATTTTCTTAATGTTTTCCTGAAGAACTCTATGGCTGAGTCCTATTAGAGGTTCTCAGGTAAGTTGCATAGCTCTGAGAGTGACCATTTTGTCACTTGTGAAAAAGTCTTTGCAGTCACTGAAGATGTGAATTAGCATGGGGGGAAGGAGGAGAAAGATCATATAGTACAAGCACAGCATGTTGCTCCTCCAAAAGAGAACAGAACAACCAATATAGTTTATTTTGTCCTAACCATGTTATTATTTTCGACCAGGAAAGTTAAGTTGTTTGAAATCCCTTTTGCATTTGTCTTGCATATTTTCTACTCCTATGTAAATAGTGTTCAGACATTCAGACAAAGAAGGCATTTGCAATGTTTTAAACCCCTTACCTTTTACTTCCAGTTTGCAATCAACTTCTGCTTCTCCAAGTTTATTGACTGCTCGGCAGGTGTAGGTACCTCCATCATAGGGACTGGGTTTGCGGATCTCCAAGGTACAGACACCTTGGTTGCTGAACATTCGGTACCTTGGGTCATTCATTATAATGACTTTGTTTTTCAGCCAGGTTATTTTGGGCTGTGGTAAAAACACAAGAAAGCCCACATGCACAGACTTACTAACTGGAATATTTTATCACTTTTTGTGAAGTTCATTTAAAGTCGAGTAATTCAGAAAGAATTAAAAAACCAGATGAAAGTAGTCATAGAAAATAAACTAATTCTTAACATGGGCTGCATCATGCACCTGTTTTTAAGCGTGGTTTTTCAAGTGTAGCTCCCATTCCATAAAGTCATAAATGTAAGCCTGTTATCAGTATAAGAGGTGCTATGCAATGGTAGCAAACATCTGAGTAATAGCTTTTTGCCTCCAATTACACTTAGTCAATAAGAAAAACTTTTTTTTTTTTTTCACAGTAATTTGCTGTCAGAAACTGTGAAGGTAAAGAGTGAGCAGCAAACGTTCTTAAACACTTCCAAGTTCTCCTTTTACTAGGTCAGTTCAGTTTCTCACAACACAAAATAGATCACAAAAAGATACAGCTCAAAAGAATATGAAAGATGCATTGAGCAGTGCATCTGAGAGCCAGCACAGTCCCCAGAGTATTCTTGCGATGTGCTTACTTAATTAGCTTTTTATAGAATAGTTATGGCTTTATTTTGGTAGCAACCTTTACTGATATATTAACTGTACATGTGTTGTCAGTGCTGGTCCCAGGATAGCCCAGCCTTTTGCTGAGGTTCTACACTTTCACTGAGTGAACCTTTTTTGTATTCTTTGGAGCCCACACCACTCTTTTTGTCTTCAGCCTGGCTTTTGAGTGAGACGAATAGTAAAAATGGTGTTACAGAATATATTATCAGGTTAAACTCTCTCGTGTTTTAACTGATACTGTTATGAGTGATGCTGTACCTTGGGGTTGCCCCGAACACTGCAGTTCAAAGTAGCGTTGTAACCAGCTACAGCAAATGTGTTGACTAGAGGCTGAGTAAACATCGGTCGTTCAGTGAAGTCAAAATCATCGTAAACTGGGTATTTGTAGACTTTACCTATGAAATGAAAATAAAACATTTATGAAAAGAGTGTCACTATGTAGCTAAATACCCATCCATGTTAAACAGCTGCAGAGTCAGTTCTGATTTGCACTGCTTTAGGTACCGACCTGACTCTGGTAACTGCACTTGTAGGGAGGCTGGAAGTAGGCCTGTGAAGTGACTATAGCCCTTGGTCATGCTGTAGTATAGATGTCTGAGAGCTTTTCTTTTGTTTTCTGAGTAGGTGGTACATAAAATAATGCCTATTTATTCTGTGTATTTGCCTGTGTGCCCTGCATGTTACAAAACAGGATGAATGCTGACTGACATACTGCAGGATGCCTGTCGTGTCAAGCCTTGTTCATTCTATTGCCAATGACTTTTCACAGTTTGCTCTGATTACAAACTAGCACTCTATCTTAAAATCCATTTTCTTTCTGCTTCATACAGTGCACTAACAATACGGATACCTGAATGGATGTATTTTTGTACAAGGAAGACATGGTAGTAAAATCTAGTTTCTTACTGCCACTTTATCCCTGCTCTGCAATTGAGGTTATCGTCAATAAATCACTGTCACCCACAAACGAAGCTGGCATTTAAAATAGCTGGACAGACTGCAGTCTATTCCTGTGCATAGGTATTGTTAAACGTCTTTGTTCACTGAAACCTGATCCAAGCTCTCATACTGACTTCAGTGCAGCTTAGGGTGGGTTGTACAAGTTGTCTGTCTTCTGCATCATGGCAGTCATGTGTTCCTTCCTTTCAGACAAATTTGGGTGATCTGGTTTGATTTTCTTCCTTTAAACCACTAGCTTGTAGAATTTCCCTTCCATAAAGGGGCAGCTATTTTCTGGTTTATTTATTTGAAGTTTACAGTACCATATCAAACTGACAGTTTCTGAAATGTCAGGATTTCTGACAGCTGACTCAGAATCTCTCCAGCTCCACCTGCAAGAGATGTGAAGCAGGGGTTATGCTTATCTGTTGGATCCTGCCTGAAATGGACAGGAGCACTTGCAATGGCTGATGCCAAGTCTTCACTGGGAGGCAGTGACACACCAGTTCTAACAGAACAGCTGCTTTACTCCTCTTCCAGCTCTTGTTGATTTAGATCTGCCAGAATTGACACAAGTCTGAGACCCAGGATTATAGACAATGTCAGAACATGGGAAAAATGTCCCACTCTTGATTAAAAGAAACTCCAACTATGAGCTATGTGACAGAGCAAGAATTCCTAATATGAAATGCCAGACTGTTACTTGTACATGGGCTTAGGGCTAGGAATACATTGAAATGATTTAGGGATATGAGCTTTACCTCTAATCACCTTCCAGCCTCTAAACACACCCCTTCCCTTTTGACAAGGAATGGATAATTAGCTAACCATCCTTTGCAATCAAAGCGCTCTCTTTGGTCATTGTTGCATCCTCACTGAGGCCGCACATGTTCTCAGCGAAGACACGGAAGTAATACTCATTTCCTATGATGAGCTCATTAATGGTGGCACTGGTGCGGTGGTAGTGCTCCATTACTGTGAACCATTCCTGAAGGATACAAAACCAGAGAGTAAGCTTTCCCCAGTGCCCTGCATCTCTAAGCCATTAACTGCTGTCTGGTAGAACCACCGAGTAAGACTTTTCTTTGGGAATGTTAATGAATACTAGAATAGTGAAGCTGACAATAATTAATGAAATGAGTGATAATGACAATATAACATTCACTGCTGAGCAGTGAAGGCTGAATGGAAAGTACCATCTACTGAATTGTTGCATGCTGTTAGCTGGGAGGGCTTGTTTTAGGAAATCAGTAATACAAAGGTTGTACTACATGAGACAAGGCAGGCTCCTTCATTCTTCATAGTCTGTGCTGCTGGCAGAAGGTACAACTGCAGACAAGAAAACTGCAGGCTGGAGCAGAAAAGTAGTAGCATGTACTTGTCTGCTGTAACGTGTACTCACAAGAAACCAATGCATCAACCTGCCCCCTGTTCCACAGGTTGCATATTCGTGAGAAATGTAATTTTATGCATGTGGTCCTCTGATATCTAAAGGCTCAGATAGGGAGGTAGGTTTTAGCACTTTAGTCTTGCAGCAGTAAACAGGACATGTGAATTCTATGCTAGTACACAATACCTAAATAACAAAGAGAGATGAAAGAAGTTAATGCTAAAAATGGAATTTATATAAAGTGCAGTATGACCACAGCAGTGGTTTTTGCTTTGCTTTACTACATCCGATACAGTTTTCTTGCTTTCCTAAAGATGAACCTGTGCTGAGTTCCCCATGCCACAGTTTGCATTGATATTTGGTCGTCTTTAAGAGCCAAAGTGCCCTTTGGGAAAACAGTTTTCTGCAGAAGACTGACTGCACCAGAATTGCAAAATTCACCACCACAAAGAATGTGGAGAAACTATGACCAGAATGATCCATGACACACTGGACCCTTAGCACTGCTGTTGTGGCTTTCTCCTTAACACAGTAATTTAGAGACAAGGGACGTCATTGCTCTGGACACTGTACAGGGAACATGTCTTCTTACAGTCTGAAGAGAAAGAAAAAATGAAGGATGGAAAGGAAAATAGTGACATAAGAAGAATAAATTGATCAGACCATGAAGCAGATCAATGTATTAAAGGGAAGGGCATGTGGCAAAAAGATTCCTTTAGGTAAGCAGCTTTCAAAATATTGTCCCAAATATCCCATGTTTAAATTTGCAGTAAGTATTAAATGTAGGAATGTAACTACTGTGTTAAGGAACTCTAAAGTTAAAGTTAGTTTAGTGAAAATAATGAACTTCTCTATATTGCATTTTTCATCTGTAAATTTCAAAGCAGTTTATGAATTTTATATGTACCATTTTGCCATTGGTAGTAAGGAGCGGCAATGAGTTACACAATGTGACATTACAAGTTTAAAAAAAACCCAGAACTATGTTTTGATTCTAGTAGCAACCTATTGATTTCAGAATTAATATTTTGGGCTTTCATTTTCTCTACTGAAAAAAGGAAAAAAGAAAAAACCAAACCAGAATTACTTCCCTCAAATCCACCTCTTCTTTCCTTTTTAATCCTCCTTTTTGGCATGACCTGAAAACTCCCATTTCTAGGGTTCAGGTACAGTGAACAAGAGTGTTTTAGGATTTTTAGAGATGCCTTGCAGATTTTCTGAACATTGACAAATCAATGCTTTGTCCACCTACATCATCTTAGGCATGCAAGGGTTTTATTTTTAAAAAGGAGAATTTATGAGTGCATCAGCCTGTTAAACAACTCCTTATTACTTACCATACTCTTCTTATCTGCTTTTTGAATAGTGTAGCCAGTAATGGCAGCATTGCCGTCATCTTTTGGTGGCTTCCATGACAAATTTACATTCTCTCCCCAGACATCATCAATCGTTACAATCTCTGGTGGGCCTGGCCGATCTGTAAGGAAAATGCAGCAGCTGACATTTCCTACTGTTTGCTTTTCCTATCTGACTCTTTCCTACGTGTCTTCCACTTAGTTTGATTTCTCCATCTCTTAAAACACAGATATGCCAAAACCAATGTCAAAAGAAAGCTGAGACTGCAAAAGAAAACTTTTCAAAGGTAGGATATGTCAGGATTATGGAAAACTTAGCTTGACCACTTTGAGAGGACAGTTTATAATGGGCATATGCTCTTTTATTGTATGGGAACATGATATTTTGGGAAAATTAAAACCAGTGGAAGATGTATTCCTAAAAGGCAAAGTTGGACAATTATTATAAAGGCTGTGCTACCAGTTTTGCCTATTATATAAGGAAATAGATTGGTAAAAATGGAAAGTAGTTATGTTTTCTGGTCTGTATTTCCTACTTCCATGTACTTCCAACACTTAGGATTTCTTCCACATTACATATGTGACAAAGTTACTATGAGCATACTACCATTTCTGTATATGGATACCATGCAATGGGAAAAATCCTGCATCCTGAATAGACAAGAACCTGAGAAGCATAACAGTGGGGGAAAAAAAGAGACTGATATGTTCCAATGAACACCAGCCATTGTGTAGGGAGGTTTAGTTAGAGACCACGAACCAATATCCAAATAATTGGACTTGGAGAGTTATCACTGTAAAGAAAGGTGTTCTTTGGGATTCCTTTGTTTTCCTATAGCCTTGGAATGGCTGGAGTCTGCTTCTCTGGCATGCACTTATTTCTGTTTCTCAAAACTTACCAACTATCTGAATATCTATTGTAGCTTTGTCCACCAAGTTCTCTACTTCCACTTTCATGTCATATTCTCCAGAGTGGCACCTTTCTGCCTTTCGGATAAAGATGATGGTGTCGCTTTCAGTGTTGCGGATGTTGATTTGGTTCTTATCAATTGGAGAACCATTTTTCTCCCATGATACTTTTGCCCTTGGTCTTCCCTGTAAGAAGCCAGGAAAAAAATTGTATATGATTTTCGGAGAGAAAAGGGAGTGGAGAAAAAATGGATTTATTTCCCATTTTTTCCACACAGGAAATAAAAAACATGCTGAAAGAAATAGAGAATTCTTTTTTAAATCGTGACATTTGAGTTGCAATTATATTAATTCACCTAAAATTCACCTTTCTTTCCTTTCTGTTTTTTCCCCTCAGGAGACTGAAAATATTTTCATGTTATGGCTAAATTGGACAATTAACTGTATGGATAAATTTGACAATGAATTTCCAATTTTCTAAAAGAAAAAGGAAAAAAATGCAGAAAGTGCAAACCAAAGCATTTTACGCTCTGGAAGAGCCTACATTCTCTACACTGCCAGTGAAAGGTAAAAGAAGTGGGCCAAACATCTAGGCAACCCAAAACTCTTTTCTTTCATCACAAAGAGCAGTTGGAATAGTTGTTAGGTAGGCTGGATTGACATCTCTTGTGTGACATTTTTGTGGGCCTAGTCATGCCCAATTTAGATACTTACATCAGAGTGAATTCCACCTGCTTTACTGTGGAATTTGCCTTCCAGAGGCAAACAATTTTTGCCTCCAAAAAGGGTAATCCCACACCTTTTTGAGCTCCTTATCTTAGAGAATAACCATACAATATTCCTTTAATTTCTCAAGAGCCTGTATCTTGCAGTGTATTGCTGATCAAGCTTTTATTAGGCTTTTAACAGCCTTGTAGAAGCCAGATTATGCTCACCCAGTATCTTGGTGTGCAAACATGAAATAGAAGTGAATTCTGTAATTCTTGTACTCACAAGAATAAGGACCCTGCAGGTAGATAGGCAGTCACTGTTATAAAACGTATGGGGATGAAGGTTAGAACAATGCTAAGGAAAAATGTGCTATATCCTTAGAAACAGCAATATTATAGCTGTGTTTTCAAGAATTTGAAAGTTGCAGTTTCTATAGGAGACAGTGAAACTGCCCACTCTTACCCTCCTTTTACCTCTCTCATGACCAGAAAATGATCAAATACTATAGTCCCACCCTTGATGTCGTACCTAACTACTGCCAGGGTAACCATTTTGCAATGTACTTGCAATTAGCTTACATGTAATATGTGCTGTGAGTGTCCTTTGGATGACAGATGTCAAACCAGTCTGTCTAAGCTAGTTACCCATTTAATTAATTGACTTAACATAATTTCTTTGGGATGTCAGCATAAAAGCTTTCAAGCACCTATGTACTTCAGTGTGCTTCCACATCTGCAGAGCTTAATTCACTGGCCTATCAAAGTTAATTTGAAATAAATTAAAAAGCAGCAGTATAAGAAAAAGAGAGTATATTCTCGCCAGTGTTTTGAGTTCTTACCTGGAAAGGAATAACAAGATTCACAGTTTCTCCAACTCTTCGAGTATAGGTTTGCTTTAAGTGTCTTGGTAGACGAATCTTTGGAGGTTCTGAAAAAAGCCAAGACCTTGTGATTGACATTTATCTTTTGCTCTAACTGGTGGGCATCAGTACAAATAGAAGAGTCTGTGGCCTGCAACTCCCAGAAGAGACTACTGAGTGAGGTATCTTAGATCTCTTGGTCCCACAATGTTACACACTGTTGGGTTTTGTAACAACAAATACTATGGTGGTCGGAATAGGTGAGAAGCTTAGCACAACTTAAAAAAGTATCATAAAGTTTGAGTTTTGCAGGAAAAAAAAAAAAGGCCTTGGAATCCTGAGCAATAAAATCTTAGAAATAAACAGACAGAACTATGATTTTTATTTAAAGATTGTTTCATGATTTCTAGCCTGCACACGATGGCTCTGTGAAGCCATATCATTCATTTCCAGCAAGTATTAGCCTTAAAAAGACAGAGCTAAGTATGGAAGCAGAGTGTATTTGTGGATGAGCGTAGGCAGGAGGATCTTACCTATCACTTCCTTGACTAAAATAGGCTGTGGGTGGTACCTAGGCTCACTTTCACCAGCAGCATTCACAGCTTTTACTCTCACAAGGATTTTTGAGCCAGTTGGCAGGCCATTGATAGTAAATTTTGTTTTGTCTGTCAGCTCCGGGTTAGCCACGATCCATTCATCAGCTAGTTAGGGAAAAGAGGACAGGAGGACGAATCGAAAGAATAGGGAATTATAAATGCGTCCACTGCACAGATGAGGAAAAATTAGAGAACAGTAACATATACATATAAATGTATATATTTTATTATTATATCTATTGTATTTTAAATGATATATATTCATTATAGTCTAATGAATACTCCTATTTTATATTTATTATTATGCTATAACATGATACTGATGCACTTTCATATGTAGGAAGAATGTTTCAAACCTTAAAGGGTTTCTGCTGATTATATATTTAGGTAAATAAATGTTTTTAGAATGTGTCTAACAATTAATTACACCAGAGAGAAAACTGATTAGTTTTTAAATTCAGCTGATAGAAACAACGGGGACATGTGTATATTTCCAAAAGCACTCATCATTCCTGTAACAGTTTCCTCGGAGAGAAATGAGTTCCACAGTTAATTTCAATCAGTACTGAATACCCTTGAAAGTATTACTGAGAGAGCAGAGATGAGAGAAACACAGGATATTTACAAATTGCAATGAAATGTCATCTGTCCTCATTTAATAGCATTTAAAATGCATTTAAATAATGAGTGCTCTGTCCAAATTATTCACTTTATCACAGCATTCTTGGATTGTTTCTATCTTGCCCCTAGACAGATCACATAGAGTGATCATAGCAGTTCAGTCTTTCAGAAAAGCTCCTGTTACAAGCAATATTTTCTTTTCCAACCTGTCCTCCAAATGTGGATTGCTTTATCAGTGCTGGTACCTTGACATTTGGAGTCAGTAGCAAGTCAGCATCAATACATAACAATTATGTAAAGACAGTATTATAAAATTGGCACAGACGACAAGAGAACTATTATAAACTAAAGAGCCCTGCAGGCTTAGAGCGCAATACTGTGGTACGTTTTCTTAACTCTATGTCTTACTTTTAGGAATTAAGTTCTCCTTCAAGCTGCTTCTTTCAGCTTCTAACAGAAAAGGATTGGAATCAATGTCTGTTTCTAAGCACCTCACCCTCCCCCTTGCAACATGTACTATAGCAAATTCTTTATAAGCTGTTGCCCCAAATATTCCCTCTCAGAAATTTAACTTTACTTCTATGAAGAGATCTTTTTCTTTCATTAAGGAAGAGTTATATCCTTTGTTGAATACTTTACCTTCCACGTTAAAAGGTGGCTCCAACAATTCCTCAGACAGATCTGTCGATATACCTTGTGAGAATCCATCTTTAAAATTAATCAGAGACACCCACTTTCACACAGATGGAGCATTTTGTCAGTGGTTAGCAATTCCTGTTAGTAAGTATGCAAAGATAGATGCTGGGCTTTTAAGATATAGAGGTCCTGTATTTAGGGAGACTGCAGGGAGGAAAGAGATGGGAGGAAGGCTTCTAGATCAAAGAACAGTTATGAGTGATGCTCACAGGAAAGCTAAAGGATAAAGGAAGAGGAGATAAAGTTGTTTGGGTTGAGTTTTTTTCCCTTGGGCCTGATCACAGCCATGGAAAGATGAAAAGGAAAAGATAAAAGGAACACTTGGAAGAGAGAAATGAAACAAAATGATGATGGGACAAAAGGTAGAAGGAGAAGAAAACACATCATAGAAGAGCGAAGAAATTCAGAGAAGACTTCTGAGTAAGAGAGATAGAAAGAAGGGAAGTCTTGGAAAAAACTTGGGGAAACAGAGGAAGAGAACACATTTAACTAAGGCAACATAGAAAGAAAAGTAAAGAAGGCTAAATCCATGGTTGATGACAGATATGATATAACCAGTAAGGTTTTATTTCCTGGACAAAGCTCTTACTGCCCTGGATTTCCTGGAATCATGCCCTTGACTATTTTCAGGATAATAAAAATACTATTCTGGTATCTATGCATGGTCCTGGGTGGGAACACTGGCAAAGACCTCAGCCAACTGTCTCCCAGTGCTTATTTACTAGCTATGAAACAGATCATCTGCAGATACAATGGCCCTTTAAAGGCAGATAAACATAGTGTCTTAGGGAAAACTATGGCCAAGCTCCTCAGGCTACGTTTGAAACTTTGCACAAGAACCAATTGAAAACATACTTTACTTGGAACTGACTTCTCCAGTGTCAACAAGATTTGGTCTACTACACATCACCACAGGAAGAGGTTCAAGTCAGATGTTGTAAACTAGCCCTTGGTAGTTCTCTGGTTGCATTATTCACACCTATACAATGCAAAATCCAGACACTCATAATGAAACTACAGTTCAGTAATACACACAAAGCTGTTAAAGGTGCTACCATAGCTAAGGAAGTCCAAGAGTACACCATGTTGATCAAGTTATGAGGTTCAGACTAAAGGGAAACACCAATTTTTGTGAAGCCAAACCAATGCTCATGGTACATGATTCTTCTAAATTATAGTTATATATATATATATATCTATATATAGTCTTCCTATTTTCAGCTTGTGATTTCTCCTAATGATTGCTAATAAGGAAGCCTCAAAAAAGCCTTCTTTAAAACTAATCCAGTGACAATGATAAAAGAATGAAGAAGGTAAAACCAAATGAGTTTACAAACAGATAACTAAAAGAAAAGAACAACAGAATGAGTATAGACAGCCATTAAAAGTACCTTGAAATTAAGGAGAGTTATGAAAAATTATAGAAGAAATTAGTTTGAGGCAGAACAGACACTGAAAGGACTGAGAAAAGGAGGCACTATGATATTGCAAGAAATAAAAATAGGACTGAACAGAAAGAAAAGGATGTCTATTCCAATAAAGCATCTTAATTGGTATTTTCTACTAAGCTTGCTTCTTCCTAACCATTTTCATAACATATATACATAAATAGTGTCAATTTTGTATATATAGATGTATATGCATATATAGGAGGCATATATAGATATACATAAACACTCAGAAAGCTATGTAAAATACATTGTACCCATTGTATTTTAACTGAGGTGGGTAACAATAAAATGACAGACTTCACTGCCATTTTGTTGTATCTTCATAGGTTTAAAACCTATCTGAAAAAAAAAGAGAGTAAAGAAATTGTTCCATTCAAAAAGTATACAATCATCTTCTGAGTAACAGTCTTTAAAGGACAAAGTTGGAAGATTCCTCTAAAACCCTAGTTTTCACTAGTGTATATATATAGCACTTTTAGCTTTTCCCCCACTATCTTACCAATGCTAAACAGAGCATAACATACAGCATACACTGACATTGACATCCCCCTTTATATTCCCATACATCTTGCCTGTCCAGTGGAGGCATTATTGGAATGCTGCATCTTGATGTAAGGCTGCATGCTTACTCATTCTGAGCTGTTCCCACAGCTCCCTCCCAGTATACAAGGAAAACCTTTCCTACCATTCCAGCTGTTGTCTGCCTTCAGGTAATCTTCTCCAGACCTCTGAGTTTCTTCCAGTCTGTTCCTGCTCCTTACGGATATTCAGCTCAATACTACAAGATGCCGAGTGCTCCTGAGAAAAGCCAGTGTTTCTTCTTCACCCTCTCTCCCACTCGTCTGAGAGAGGCAAGGGAACTCTGTTCCTGTTGGATCTGACCACTTTTGTGAACTACTGTTTTCCTGGATTGTCTGAACTTAAAACACGCCACAGTGTGAACGACAAGTTCTGCCATCTACCTCTTGTCTCCAGGCTGCAGACTGCAGTCCTGAAAAGCTTTTGTTGAAATAAATGCCTTTATGAAGAAAGGTGTCCAACACATCACTTGATTTACAGTGCAGTTAAGAGGAACAGCGAGCGGAGCTGAAGATAACTGTGTTGCATTCATCCAAATACAACAATGCTGGAGTCCCACTGATGAGCATTTGCCTACATATGCTGGGTATTGTGCATACCACCTCAAGCTCTTTGATACTTACCCAGGTGTTGGTGGATTTTAATTTTTGTAAATAGGCTTCGTTTGATGCCAGTTTAGAAGAAAATCTGCTGGAAAACACTGTGTTTCTGCTGCTTGATCACCAAAGAATTTTAGTTGTAAGATATAAATTATATTTCCCTATATTCCTTGTGTAAGGTTTCCCTATTCCTTCATAAGCTTATTCTCTTACATCTCTCTTACATCTTTCTCTTACTCCTTTAGTTTTGTATAGATTTATGTCTTAGATGGACATAGTTAAAGATCTTAAATCTAGCTACAATGAAACGTTGGAGAAATTAAAAATCAATACATGAACTTTGAATGGCCAGGAAACTTCTACAGCCAGCTATTGGAGAGGCTGTCTGTCCTCAGTATTGGGAAGTGGCACTTGAAGTAGCCAATTAGTACTAACGTCAGGATAGGGATTACCACACTGAGGATCGGCTGTCCCTAAAACCCAGCCAAGCTGCACATATTTTGGACCACACATTTCCTATCCATTCATCCATCCACTCTTTACTGCACTGACTTCATTCAGGCCAAAAAAGAGGAAAGTTATTCATACAGTACTTGGTACACTAGAATAGATTATATGGCTTTTGATTTGTATTTCAGATGTGTTGAACTGCAATCAATGGGTGGGATCTGGAATACAAACCAAACAGAGCCTGTGAAACCCCTGCTGCTTGAAGTTTTCTGACTGATTAGTTTCTGCCTTAAAGTGAAAGCATTTAATACCTGTAGAGAAAAAAATGGAGAAAGTCTCACCTACTTACACTGTGAGTAACATACCGCAGTCATTGTTACTTACTTCCTTCAAAGCAGTACTCTACAACATAGCCGTCTAAACCTGCTGCTCCAATGTGGTCTGGTGGCCTCCATTTCATTGTAACTGAGGTATCAGTCACTCCGTCCACTGCCAGGAGAGTTGGTGGGCTAGTAACAGCTGAAGCAAGCAGGCAGAGGGGAGAAGGCAGAAAAACATGTTTATAGTTAACAGTTTACGCTTATGGTGTGTATTCCTCTAATTAAGCATCATAGGTGACAGGCTAAATCCTGCCTATGAGGCATTTCCAGTCATGCCTGCCACATCTTTCCGAATTAGGACCAAATTAGAAGAAGCAGGTATCTCATCCCATATCTTCTCACAGCTTGATCCAGAGTTAAATTCCTCCTGCTGAGGAATGAGGACAGAGGGGTAGAAAGCAGAGCAGAAAAGTTGTGAGTAGTGTATTCTACGACTGCAGGTGTCTTCTGGCAAGAGGAGAGCACTCTCTAGCAATAACAGCCACCATCTTCCTTCTCCTCTGCACTGTGGGGATGCCACTGAGCAAGGTGGGAACCTTTGCTGGCCTACAGAACAAGCCACCTTTCTTTTACAGGGGTTTGTGGTTATCACAACAGTTAGAAAATCTGTTTCTTTATATGAAAAGGCCATTAAATCAGTGTGTCAGTAGGTGAATGGCAAGGCCCTATAGTTGTTACATTAATATAAAGCAGTAAAATGACATGTAGACTAACATAAAATATGATCTAGCCTAATCTGGATATAGAAAATATGTGATACCTTTCTGGGAAAAAAGCCCCTACTTCAGCTAATGGATATCCATGAGGCAGAGAGAGAGAAATTAGGAGCTATTCAGATGTATCTCATCATATTATTTATCATAGTATTATGCAAATTCACTTATTTTTTCCATAGATTTCTATCTTTATGACAGATTACATATATGTGGGGTTTTTTAATGGAAATATATGGATTATTTGTGAATGCTTATATATTTAAATGGCAAGCAATTCTGTAACAGCAAAACAAGTACTGAAACATGAAAGAAGTCTCATTTTCATACAGAACAGCCTGCAAATAGTGATGTTCAGACTTCTGGTCAATTCTGATAATTTTTTGGCCAAAAGGCAGTGCCTGATGGAACTTACAGAGGAGAAAGACACAAAAAAGAGCAGAGACTATAATCCATCAACTTTATCAATTCTCTGAACTGTCAGTTTGACTGGCAATAGCTTCATGCTATTGTCTCAAGAGGTACCTAAGATAGATACACAAAAACATGGAACTATTAGTTCTGGTCCTTAAAACATATTGGCCATAGTATTGATCATATCAGGCTCAGCTATAGCAAGTCACTGTTTTATTTTAGTTCACCTTTTTTCTGTCTATACGTCTTTGTTTCTTGTTTATAAAAGACTATAAATCCTTCAGGGATAGACATATAGATAGACAGGTGCAACCTGATAAAGACCTGAGCAACACAAGTACAACAAGAACTACCGTTATGTAATTAGATGACTGTAATAATGTGTTAATGGTAACTTTTTAAATGTATGCTTATTTCTGTGTTTCTGATTACTTACCCAAAGGAACAAAGGACTTTGAAGGCATACTTGGTTTGGAAATGCCTATTGCATTGACAGCAAATACACGGACCTCATAAGCAACACCTTCAATCATCTTCTTTGGCTCAAAAGTTGTTTCTTTTATCAATTCAAAATTCAACCTCATCCACCTGGAGCTTTGTTTCTTTTTCCTTTCAATGAAATATCCTATTGACCAAACAAAATTTTATTATAGTGAGTGGTGGCATAAAGCTCAGTAGTGAGTGGTCTATTTTTTGACTGCCCAGTGTCATATTTTCTGGATAAACCTCAACATGCCCTTCTAGCTTTAGAATGGTTTATTGTTAAGTTTTACCCATTGCAAGCTGTCTGATACTCACCTGTTTGCTTGGCTTTCACAGACATGCATGAGCTTATTTTGGACTTCCCTTATTGTATGTACAGTATTTTGGACTTCCCACTGTACGTAGCTCACAGGGAAAAGAGCCTGATTATGCTGGCCTCGAGGTCTCTTTGACTTTCCTCTCAGTTCAGTGTATTAGCATATACTACAATTTACACAGTAAATTGTTTCTAAAATTCCTGCTACGATTCAAACAGACTAACTGTTCAAAGTTTGGTAGTATAAAAGCTTGTCTTTCAACGAGTGGGATTGATAATGTGACAACATGCAAAATGACAAACCTTGAACTATTAGAAAAACAAGTATATGATAAAGTTGAAGATTGAGTAGATCATTCTTGCAACTGGATAATCAAATTGCAACTCTCCGGCGACTGAACTAAGTGCTGATCTTATTGTGTCCATTATCTGGGGTATGTTTCTTTTATCTCTATTAGAACATCACCACAAAAAGAAGAAAAGGATGTACCTAAGATGGGTGATCCACCATCATTTGCTGGAGGTTCCCAGGTCATAACACACCAGTCTTCACCCACCTCAGTCACGTTTGGTGCCTGAGGAGGATCAGGTACATCTGTTTTAAACAAAGTAAATATTAATTAATTAATGAAATATTTTTTTATTCTTTTGCATAGGTTGAATAAAAAAAGAATATTTTTGAAGTGCAGCAGGAGTTCCTAATGAGGCGAGGAAGAAGGTCTTTGTGGATCCTGTCAGGTAGTTAGGAACAGATAAATGTAAAGCTCTTCAGCACACTCAGGACTCTTTAAGAGGCACTTGAGGATGTGTGATAAGACAGGACCCACAGCCATGAAGAATGGAGAGTGTTAAAGACAGCCTGAGGCAGCTGCCCCTGCAACATGAGATGTCAAGGGGGTGATAATTAACTCCTGCTTAAATCCCATGCTAAACTCCGGTGTCCTTCAGTAAAATACCTCTTCACCTCAACTCCACATCTGAAAATGGGGACAAACAGGGAAATTGAAGTTTCCTGAGAATCTACAACAATTTGGTAGCTAGGGAGGACAGCATTTGCAGAATCCCCTTAAAAAGAGGAAGAAGAATCTGCCTCTGGTTTGGGTACGGAAACGTAGCATTCTCCAAGGCACATATATTGAAAAGGGTTGTGATAAAAGACATGGCTCATGTGCACTGTTTCACATGACTTACCAACCACTTTAATGTTGATTAGAGCTGTGTCTTCTCCAGCCTCATTCTTTAACGTTATTCTGAAAGGACCTGAATCTTCCCTCTCAGCTGCATCAATGACCAGACAGCTGCTGTCTGGGTATGTTTCTGCCCGTATTCTTCCACTGTCTGTGATCCCCTAGGAATCAAAAGCAGCAGAGGGAAAAATTTTATTTTCTGGATTGAAGAATCAAAACACTCAAAAATCCAAATCCAAATGCAGCACAGGATACTTCATCAAAAAAGCTAAAACACCTGTGAGAAAAAACACGCTCCAAATTTCAGGCACCTAATGATCACAAAAATGAATATAATAACTGAGGGACAAATAAATAACTTTAAAATATAGTAACTGGGCAATAGAAGTTTAAAATATAGAACTGGGCAGTAGAAGCAGCCATTTAGTAGATTTTCAGTAGTTTTCTCCTGCATCTCATACATCCCTCTCCTTTAAAATTTATTTATAGCAAACCTGTATTTTTTCCTTCCTTAATGTCAGCCTTTCCTCAAAAAGACACCCAAAATACTGAATATTTATGCATCTTACCCTCCATTCTTGAGTGAGAAGAGTTTTTGCATGTCCTCCTTGTTTTCTGCCATTAATGCAATGTCTTCACAAGGACAAAGGTTATTTTTTTTGAAGGAAAAGGCCCCTTGTTAAGCTAAAGAAACATCTATAATGACAATGTACCTTGTCTCCTCTACTCCACACGACTTTTGGAGTTGGCTCGCCAGTGATGGGGATCTCAAGTCTTAGTTTGCTTCCTGCCACTACTGTCACAGTGTTATTTTCCCCAAGACCATCCAGGTGGAGTTTAGGAGGATCTGAAAAAGGAGAGATTGTCCAAATTTGCTGTGTGACTGCCAGTCTGAGAGCTCACTGACTTGGGAAAGGTCTGCAACATAGAGAAACATGCTCTATGTATTTTCCCGGTATTTTTAGTCAACTGATCTTTTGTATGGAAGAAAATTTGTGAAGCAGTTGTCTGATGAAAAATAAATCACGCTACCATAGACATTTTGGAATAGTAAGACCATTGAAAACAATAAATCTATCTTCCTGGGGCAGAATTATGTGTATTCAGGTAACTTCTGAGAGATGTTTCCTCTAAGCGGTTCTTCAGGATTTCCATTGCAGGCTTCCTACAGCACTTTTTACCATGCTTCTGACATCACTGTTCTTACAGTTTAAATCCTTTTTCTGAAAATTAAGTGGTCACATTTTTGTGCCCCATGTGTACAGGGAACAGCTGATGAATACCCTCTTACAACTTCTTTTATTTCATTGGAAGATATACCTATTGGAAGTGGACATACCCCTCTAGTACCCCTTCCTTCATTCTCTCTAAATGTTGCCAATGTTTGGTTTTTTTAAACACAGATATCCCATTTCTTTCAGCTTCAGTTACAGAACATATTTGCTAAAACTTTGGTCATTTATACTGCTCTCCTTCTGACTTCCAGGTTGCTGATTTCAGTTAAAAGTCAGTGAGGTGTTGTCTTGGGAAGTGTCATTGCTTTGTTTAATTTTTTTGTTCAGAAGACTGGGATTATTAACAAGCCTTCTGTTTTGCTGAGTGAAGAAGAGCTGGCCAGAAGCATTGTGCTCTCTAGATATCAGTTAATGTATTTAGGGAATCAGTTAATGTATTTAGGGAATAGGCAAATATGTACCTATTCTACTATTTTACCAAACTAAATGACATTTCACAATGTCAGCAAGCCAATTCTTCAAAGAAGACAACACTGTCTATCTGAAAAGAGGATAGCAACACAAATTTTTAATAGTGGTTTAGGTTTAGGAATTCAGCATCAAATAAGCCTTCCTCATTAGCTCCCCTAGGCTTGTAAACTATGCGCAGGTCTTGAGCACAGGCATAGCACTCTGACTAACTCGAACTTTGCGAAAGCAGCAGGTTGGTTTTCTCTGGTGGATGCCTGCTCAGAGGAAACAAGCTGATTGTAATCAAGGATATTTCACACTACCTTTAAGTTCTAAAGGTAAGAGAAAGAGATGTTGTATGCAAGTCATTGAGCCAAGTACTTACCCACAACATGTACTTTACATGGAATATTAATATTGTAGGCATCTGGTACAAACATGTATTCACCCTCATCATCAACAGCAGCACTTGCTATAACAAATCTGTGGATTCTGTAGAAAGGCAAAAAAAAAAAAAAATGGTCTAAATTATTTTTGAAGACTTTGAAGCTCTGAGATAAAATCTGTGAAAAGCATAGGAGATCTGTGCAAGTGTGTGAAATTACCATCTAAAAATCATTTGCTGGCTGCTTAGTGGTGTTTTAGCTGATTAAATACTGTGTGATTTGTACAAAACATTATTGAGACAACCACCACATAATGTAAGCAATTTTAATATTTATTGTTCGAACACAGAGCTAAAAAAATACAGGAGTGCAATATCTGACACAGGGATTTTATGCGGCTGCCATTAAATTGTAAGTTGGTTATTCAAGAAGAAATCTTTAGGTAATCCCATTGTGGGAATATTCTGACTTGTTAGCAATCTTTGTGGTAGGATACAATGTACTATTTGTTTGCCAGACTAAAGAAATGGGTGAGCAAAGCATATACTGCTCTTACTACCCTCACCTTGCCCTATGGGCCTACATGTGTTGTGGGGAGAATATTCAGCTTATGTCCCCTACTACAACTGAGAGAGCATTAGGGACTCTATGCAAACATTTTACAGCCTGTTGAGGAATGGAGGGCTGGAGCACCTCTCCTATTAAGACAGGCTGAGAGAGTTGGGATTGTTCAGCCTGAAGAAGAGAAAGCTTTGGGAGACTTTAGTGCAGCTTCCAATACCTAAAGGGGACCTACAAGAAAAAAAAGTGACTTTTTACAGGGCATATGGCTATTATATGAGGGGAAATTGCATTAAACTGATAAAAAGGAGATGATCCTTACAAGGGCATTTCCCAGTTGTATGAATGGTCTGCTAAGCTGAAGTGAAGGAGATAACATTAAAGGTAGGAGATTTTTGTCTGGTTTGGGGTGTTTTTTTTTTGTTTTGTTTTGTTTTAGTTGTTGTTTTTTGATTGATTGGTTTTGGTTGTTTTTTTTTTGTTTGTTTGTTTGCTTATTTTTCCCTAAACTGACAAACTTTCCATTAAAAAGTTTTTTTTCCATAAAAAAGGACAGATTAGAAATGCAAGGGAATCTGATATCTCCACATACTTTACAGAGATACATGTTCTGAGTTGACATAAGCATAACCTATCAGAGAACCATTTAAAAGCTATGTGCTAACAGCAACAGCAATGTCAAGAAAAATTAATAGCTTTGTCTTAGATGGATCAAGGACTTGATGATTGTCCTCCACAGCCAAAAGACACACAATGAAAGGAGGCAAGGAGACATGGCTTTCATGATGATAAAAACAAATATGTTTGAGGGACAGAGGAGAGGCTTGGTTACCAGATAATTTTCAGTGAACTAGCCCACATATTGGCACATCTCTACAGTATCGTTACATCGAAGTCAAGTCAATACACAACAGTCTTACCTTCCTTTGTGATAAAGCTTTACACGGTCACTAGCTTCAACTAGTTGACCATTTTTGTACCATTTTCCTTCCACGTTCTCAGATATCTCACACTTCAGGTGGATTTCCTGTCCAAGCCTCACAGTCTGGTCTTCGAGTGCAAGTGAAATCTTCAGTGGTCTCACTTAGGAAAACAGAAGCAGAGATATTAGTGCTAATATCAAACAATAGCTCATGATTCTGTCACAGAGCAGCTACTAGCCATCAGAATAGTCTTGAAATCAGAAAAATGCCTCCAATAATAAAGTTCTAAAGTCAAAATATCAGCAATATGTACATGTAAGCTACATAAATTAACCTCTTTTCATATAGCCTGATGCCACAGGGTGATCCAAAATACCCATGCCCTTACTGGCGAAACTCCGTGAGTATTTCCAGTAGAAGAACTAAGCCCAGGGGCATAACTTTAATGCAGTCTCCTCTCTGGTGTTTAGTTGCTGGAGGTAGGGTGTTCCTATCCACCAGAGTCCAGTAAGAAACTTTCAAGAGGTGAAAGACCTGTGTCCCCAGACCTATGCACTAGAAGGATTACAACCCACATTTCCTGTCATCTAACAGTTTCCTAGCTGCTCTCATAGTTCTCCCAGCTGATCTGGGATACTCTGGATACTTACCAAAGTCTTTCACCACAAGTGGGGACTGTAGTTATCAATCCATTTTTTCAGGCTAGTAGGAAAGGCTGACTGGCCAGTAAGCTTAACTTCACATACACTAATTGATACTAACTTGATAACAGAACAGCATGAATTAGTTGTGCTTAGGATGCCAATTTGTACAAAAAAGTCAAAACAATATTACCAAAAAAAAAACCAAAACCGAGTATTACAAAACAGTGTCTGTTTACATATAATAAGTTTAGAGGATGGACACATACATTTAGCTAAAAAACACAGGCATTTTAAAAAGATATTGCACAAACTATACTAAGGAAGCTACATAGTCATGTGTTTGGGCCTGTGAGTCCAGACCAAGTGACACTGATGCTTTTGGACAGTATTTCCAGTCACAGAACTGCTTATTTTTTCCAACATACTTTTTTTCTGGTTTTGATTAAAAAGCCACGGTTTGGCTTTCCTGTGAAAATCTGAAAGGATTAAAGGAAGGTGGATACTTTGCTTGAAGATTTCGCTTTGTTGATCTGTTATATATCACAGTATCACAGTATGTTAGAGATTGGAAGGGACCTCAAAAGATCATCTAGTCCAATCCCCCTGCCGGAGCAGGAACACCTAGATAAGGTTACACAGGATTTGGATGGATAGCTTGGTTTTCCATCTTAATGGTGTTACAGAAAATTTTCATCCAGGACCAGGACTAGCTCATTGCCTGTTACTGCAAAGTCTAAAAGAAAGTTACTGTTCTGGAGATTTGCAGCAGAAATACTGGTATCAAGTTAAGTCTCCCTTTAAACCCCCAGGAAAAGGCTTTGACGTATAAACTTCAGAGCAAGATGGATTATACTTACAATCAACCGAAAGCTTAGCTTCTGACTGGCCTCCAGTTGTCATTACTGAGTAAGTTGCATTGTCGTTTTTCGCAGCTTCCTCTATGACCAAAGTGTGTTTTTTGCCCTCAACCTTGATTCGATACCGAGAATTAGGATCATCGCTAAGTTCTACACCATTTCTAAACCTAATGGAAAACAAATAATGATTATTTTCCCAACAGAATTCCTGTGCAAATAAGACTCCTGTAGACTGAAACTTACAGAACAAACTTTATAAGACTTAAGGCACAAGAAAATGTTAAACAAACTCATCCATGTATTTGTAAGGATAGTTTTGCTGTTGATACATTTTTAACAAAGTTTTCTTGAGATTTGCTTAATTCTCAGGTTTACTGGTATAGAGAAAGCTGTCCCCATTTTTGCCAACAATTCAAATATTCTGGGCTTTATTCTCAAGTAAAACAGTATCAGTTCAAAGTATGACTTACCATTTCACATTTGCATTTTCCTCAGACACTTCACAGCTCAGTTCTACTCGTTCACCAACATAGGTACTGGTATCCTCCAGGCCTTTGGTCACCAAAATTGGAGGATCTTTGGAAAGAGCAAATTACTTAATTACAATCTGAGAGAGAAAACTAAGTGAAAGAGCTTTTCAATATCGTGCTATAGAAGACAATATGAGTTTAAAATTCTAATATTAGTCTCAGTGAACTTTTTCTGCTTTTGAAAAGTCATTCCTCATGAAGACGTGAGTAGGAAAAGTGACAAAAAATAACATTTGTTCAGGTGAATTCCTGCCTTGCATCCTGTTTTATTAATAGTTTGTCCAAGCAGATCAAGAGAAGCTGACATTTCCCACTTGTCTCCATAGAACCCTCTCATAAAGGTGTATTTTCATTAGGTCCTATAGCCCATTATGCACATTAAGATGACCTGATGACATAATGCTGTGACCTTATTGGTTTAATCCATTCCTGCTGTCAAAACTCAAGTCTATTTACCATCAAGAGATTGTACAACAGTTATCCTGTGATATTTATAGGGGCAACGTGATTTGTCAACTTGAATTGTTTTCTGAAATATTTGATTATTTTTTTTCTCTCACTGTAAGTTTGGCTTTTCTCTTAGTTTTGTTGTGCCATGAGTATTAATAGTAAGGCTGTCAACACTGTAGGAAGGGTGAAGAAATGGCCATCTATTCATAGTTTTGGTAGAGTCTTTCCTTAAATCCGTGCGGATGAAATGAAAACTAGCTGTTAGAGAACCTAAACTGAGGGTACTTAAAACGAGTCAGTTGGACCAAGAGTGTCAGCATGATCAGGGACTTAAGTGTGGTGTTAGGGAAAGCCAACACTATGACAAGCTATTCTCCAAAATGGCTTTAAAACTATGAAGGAGACTACAGCCTCACTAGATCCCAATGCACAGTATGAAATCAACCGTAGACCCATTTCAGGGTTTCCACTAAATTACTATATATAGGATGAGGAAAGCTATGGCCAGGGATCACAGAAATACTCAGTGATCCTAACAGCTGCTAACGCGAATACAGAAATCTACTGAACAAGGTCATCCCTGTTAATTTCTGTTGTAGCCAAAAAAGCCACCACAAGTTACAGCAGGTGAAATAAGAGCAAGCTGACATAATTACCTCTCACAAACAGTTCTGTGGAGCATTTCTCATCACCAGCTGTTACGTAGTAGCGAGCATCATCTGCCATCGTGCAATTATTGATGAATAAAATTCTCTGGTTACCCTTGTGCTCAAAAATGTATCTGTTTAAACAGGAATGCAGCAAAGGTAAATTAGCAAAACTACTGGGCCTCTTTTGTTTTATGTAGAAAGCACTTTAGGAATTATTAGAGGTGGGAATCTTGTATTCTACAAAGAACAGGAGAAATTGTCCTGGGAAGTAATTTCCAAGACTCAACAGAACTATCAAAGAGCTTTTGGCAAAGAGTTATGGTGTAAAGAGGCAACAAGTGTCTTCTGGTTTCTGGCTTGTTGGAAAATCCCAGGCTTAGGTGATATGAAAAAATAAATAAATAAAAATAGAAGAGCAGGCCTTCAAGGATGGCCAAAAAAAAAAGAGTCTGAAACTCTAGATGAGTGAAGATGAAAATAACCAGTAACAGGACACCATCCTCATTCCAACACTCTTAACATTTTTGTGAAGTATAATAATAGCCGAAGTTAAGAAGTTAGTACTATGGGTAGGGCAGATGGTACAAAGAGCAGTAATGGGTTTTGGTAATGTGATATGGAGCCTTTCACCTTTCTGTCACCAATTTTGGTCTGCTCCAGGTTTTGTAATGAGCAAAGCTCATTAGCATCTGACAGCTGCTTCGGCAGCCTGGTAGAAATACACCAGAACATTCAATCCAGGTCCTTCTACTGGAGAGGTATCCATATAGCTGCCGGCAAGACACTTCTGAACTGCTCATGGCAGATAGAGGGGCTAAAGAAAAAGTATCCTGATCATTATCCATTTTTTGTCAACTATGAATATTAATCAAAATCCTTCACTGACTTTTGCAGAAATTGAATGAAATAAATCTGCCCCTTCTTTGTAAGAGGGCTTTTGCTAATTTCTATTTTTTCACTGGATGAGAGGAAAAAGGTGCTAGGATTTTGTGCCGCTGAGAAACATTTAAACATTCCATTGTTGTGCATTACTGTTTGCACGCCATCATTCCTAGCTGTGTCTGACTGTGGAATGGGATTTTCTGCACCAGACTGTAAAAGCTGTTTGTGCCCGTACTAGGGACTGAGCTCATCTTCCAGCCATTGTTCTACCTGTACTCAAGTATGTGCAGCTGAAAAAACATTTCTTGTAGATAAAGCAGTAGCATAAACCAGTATAAAGGTGATACAGATGATGAAGCAGCTTGTATTAAACATCTCTCTTCTTAGAACCCAAGTACTGTAGAGATATTCTGACCTTTCAGACGTCGGAGTGAGGACAAGTGATTTATTTACAGTGCTTCCCGATTTTTTAAAAACTACCAAGTAGGAGATGTCTTCTTTTTTTTTTTTTTTTTTTTTTGAGGATCTTTAATTCTTATCACTTGAGGCAAAGGAGACAATCTGCATTAACATTTAGCATTAGCATTAACATTTAGTAGACTTCTCTGGGTCATGAGCAGTATACCATACTTTGCACATATAATGAAATTCAGAAATAAAATTGGTACAACCTGGGAAAAGAGACCTGTCAAGGAAATATATGTGCACACATTTTATTGCTTCCATACAATAAAGCCACTTACTTTGCACTTGGTCGTATTTCTTGGCCATTTTTATACCACTTGAGTTCCACTGTTGGGTCTGCGAGCTCTACCATGAACCTTACTTTACCTCCTTTGTCCACCTGATATGCAGGATCAAGACCTTTGGCAAAAGCTGTTGTGGAAGACAGGTGTTATTATAAAAGAAATTCAAATAACAAGATTATGAATGCTGTAATGACACTGCATAAATCTCATCAAAGCTGTCAGAATACATGCATACAATGTTATGTCTCTATATTCTTAAACTAGTCCACATGAATCAATTTCTTTTCTAGAAACATTAGAATAAGTGTAAAGCTATGCAGATCTGACTATTCTGACCAGTTTCAAGCTAGTAGCTGTGCTTAACTTCTTCCAGTAATAAAGCTTGAGTTGTAGTGTGCAAGCCCCCTTACATGGGAATGAAGCAAGTCTGGCTTTTTAAGGTGGATGCTCTAACTACTGAACATCAGAATATTCTGCCTAATCCATACCTGCGCTCTTCTTCACTTCCCTGCGCATGCGCTTCAGACGCTTTAACATGCCTCTCAGGTCAGTGATACCATACTGAAAAGCAATCTTCTCATATTCACTGGGATTAGCATTCTTCAGGAGCTCCCACACATCTATTTCAGGTTCTTCCTCTTGCTGTTTAACCTCCCTAACAGTAGCAAAATAAAAGCATGGGAGAAGAGTTAGTGAGGCTTTATCACACCATAAAAAAGGTGAAGCTGGATCTCCAGTAAGGTTAGAAGTGTTTTGAACAAAATTTGAAGGCTGCCATCATATTTTTTTATTTCATTTGATGTGAGTTGAATAGCTCAGAATGACATTTATACATTTCTTTATACCTCTTCAAGGTAGAATTTGGCCTTTTATGGTGTAATCAGTTATGAGTTTTGATATTGCTTCATTATTATTAAAAAAACCCAACAAAACACAGCAGTGAAAATATAGCACTATAATAACATGTGGGTAAATCCCACTTAAATAGCTTTTATCTGTTGTAACTTGAATGGAATCAGTAGCAATTTATGATGGCATCACTGATATCTGAGTCTAATCTGTACATTTCATAATTATATAAATATGCTTTTAAATCCTAAGTCCCTGTAGCTGCTACTAGGGGTAACTAATGAAAGGACATTGAAATCCAAGGGAATTTGGGTGTGTAGTTACACCAGTGCTTCTCGGTTACTTGAAGTTGGCATATGGATAAGAAGTGGAGAAATCCACACCAGCTTGGACTTGCAAGATGGATCTGTTGACTTCCATGTTTATCTCAGTCTTAAGAGCAGGAAGGGTTTTCAGAGGCCTGTGTGAGGCATCACCTTTATACAGAAGATTTAATACCAATTTTACTACTTGCAACTCCAAGCTAAGACAACCAATAAAGAGAAGTAGAATTATTTTCACAATGGCAGCCATTAAATGAGAGAACAATGGAAGCATCCTAAACAAAATGATAATTTCTGAGATTGACAGTTTAACTCAAAAAAAAGTGAACTACTACAACAACCCAGGAACTGGAGCAGAAATCTAGACTTCATTTGCCTGTAAGTTCATTAGGATCAGACCAGGTCCTTCTAATTTGATCCACTTTGACAGCACTGTGAGGAGAGAGCGTGGAAATAAATATTTGAGAAACAAGAAATGACTGAGCTTTGGGATAAGATGCTGCTAGAACAGAGCTCTGTCAAGCCAGATGGAGAATTTTCTTGAATGTATACAAAAACAGCACAGGGGGCCCCTGGGAATCTCTGCATTGCTAGATGAGAAACTATGGAAAACACTTGCTGTTTAATCCATAGGTTTTAATTTTCCTAATATTCCAGTGTTATTTTAAAAAAGGAAAAAGCTTCTCACTGAGGAATCTTTGAAATACGTTATCTTAGAATTACTGTTAGACAGTTATGGGTATGTAATTTTATGTTTCTTTCCTTTTTTATCTGTGCTTATGCTTTCTGGAGGGTGACTGTGTAGCAAACACTGGTGTTTCAGTGAGATTCCTTCTGCATGGCAGCAAGTCAAGATCAGCTTGCAAACATATATAAAATCCGACACACCCCATGGGGTGTCATTCTTCTCTCCCACATCTGGCTGTTTACCATGCAACGCCTGTCCATGATAAGGAGGAGTACACTCCATGGGAATCAGGATCATGTACCCCTTTAAATAGGGCAGTAGCTGAGAATAAGGTTCAGTTAGAATATGCTGATTTTCAACCATCTTGAAATAAGTAATTCCAGATTCTTTTTTCCTCTTATCTAACTGGAGAACAAATGGAGCAAACCAACTTTGTTTTGAGACCACAATGCTGCTTCTGCTGTGTGTAATGGGCAAGTAATGCTTGATATTTCCTAAGCAAACCTTCAGACCTACCTCTCCACAAAATCACTTTTAGATCTTTTCCCCCAAAATGTGCATTTCATTGAAAAATGTACTTTTTTTAAAAAAGGACCTAAATGTTTCAGTGCTTTTGAGATCTTATGCCTTTTGGAATTTCATGCTGTTACTGATCCATTGCATTGACGAAGCGTAACCAGTTACAGTGGCTCACTAGGATAAGAACTGGTTTGTCTTCCTGCAAGACCAGCACAAAATTTAAAAATAGGCAGTATATAGATTCTATGCATTTAGGTCTTTTAAAAAAAGCATGTTTCAAGTATTATGCACCATAGGTGAAAAGTTCTGTCTGTTTCCTTGGTGATATAAGCATAAAAAAGAGAAGGAATATACCTGCAACATTGCCTTTTGGAGAAATGAAATGAAAATGTGTATTTGGCTTTATAAAAATGGATATTACTACCTAATATAATTAGCAATCTTATTCAATTAAGCTCAGAATTATAAGGTTGCATGTCAGTCCCTGGAGCAAGGAGGTGATGAACCAATTTGACCAGTATCAAATAATGGTGTTTAAAAACTAGAAGTTTGCTTTGCCCATTCACCACACAATAGGTATGCTATGTTTATAGGGCTATACAGTATTTTTCTTACAAAAAGTGTGAGTTGTTTGTTAGTGAAGTGATAATGACTCTTACATTTTCTTTCCACAAAAACACCAAGACCTGTTACATGCAACATTCTGTTACACCCCACAGGCAGTCAGGAGAACTCTCATGGTAAGTTGTATTAGTATGATAAAAAGTCAAACTGAAGATCCTAATTAGGGATGAGAAGATTAAAAACCAAAGACCTGGTGGATGTGAATTGGTTCAGGTAATCTTTTCACTGCCTACTTATTCCTTCAGCCTTTCTTTTTTGCTTTATTTACTTAAGTACTATCCCCACTATGATAGGCCATGGGCCCATTGTTAACTTTTTATGTAACTGGTGGTAGATGAGATAAAGGCTCTAGTTCCTTTTTGAATTTTCTGCGGTCAGCTGCCATCGATTTCTGTGGCATATAGAATTTCTGTGATAAATTTAAAAAAATAACAAATTAACAATCTTGTCTTAACCTGTTAAAAGACTAAACTGTGTTTAAGATCTGAGGTAGCTAGAGGCATAACTATCATAACACCATATTTTCAAGGCAAACCAGAGAAACACACACACAAGTTTTTCTCTGTCCCAACAATTAAGTTGAATAAAACACCACTGAACATTTGTGTACACATATTGAAAGCTTCAAAGGGGTAATATCAATTTCTATGGTTTGAAATCACAATATATGCTTTTACATATCAGGATGCTTATAAAACCAAATTAAGATGTATACAAAGAGAGAAATTTAACTCTTGCATTTTTTACTCTTGCACCAGACTCAATTTTTTGAACTGCTCATCCCAGTGTAGGAAATTGTCCCCCTCTACCCTCCATGCAAACACAAAAGAAATAGCAAGTAAATGAAATGTTATTGGTCTCTTTAGGCTGTGGCTCACTTTTTATCCAGTGCACTCACATCTGAGGTTTGTTTTCTGCACACTTAAAGGTACAGTTAATTAAACATTTGCAGATCATACTATGAGACTGATAGTTAGAAACATTGAAAAAAAAAATGAAAGGTAAGAAAATTCTTAAGAAGTTATTAATGCTACACCTGACTCTTTCTGTGTGCGAACCTAATGGTTTGCAATTCACACCTGCTCACTGCATCACTTGGTTCTCACCTACGTTTCAGGAGACCACTAAAGTCAAGCTCTCCTGCATCTTCTTGTCCTTCACCGCTGTTATTAATAGAAAAAGATCAAATCTTTGTTTAATACAATAAGACTTAGACAACACACATTGCAAACACCCTAGACAACACACATTGCAAACACTCTAGACAACACACATTGCAAATGCTCTATATGTCTCATATAGAATCATAGAATCATAGAATGATTAGGGTTGGAAAGGACCTTAAGATCATCAGGTTCCAACCCCCCTGCCATGGGCAGTGACATCTCACACTAGACCATGTCATTCAAGGCTCTGTCCAGACACACAAATTGCATAAATCAACACAAACTTGTATCCTTTTTCACACAAATTATGTTTCCTTGGGCACTTGTGAAAAATAACACAAAGGTTTGTATTGCTTGTTATTATACTTTGATGACAAATTTTTGTAACTGCATACATAAATTTGCCATGATTTGTGTTAGATTTCAGTAACAAATAAATGTAAGCTTGTCAACACAAGGAGCTTTGTTTCTCATTTCCATAGTATACGTGTATAAAAACAAAGGGTTTGTGCTGATCTTTTTCTTTGAAAGTAAAACAAAGATTCGCATTGCTAGCTGGTATTTTTAACAATGCATAGCTGTGACAAATATTGATGCATTACACTTAAGATTTAGCCTTTCTCTAAATGAAAGTAGAAATCGGTTAAAAACCAAAGAAATAGTACATCATACATTTTTTATGGATAGAATCACAGTCCTGTGAAGGTGCATTTCTTTCTATAATGTGACCTTAAGAAGTAATACCTTATTATAAAGCACATATAGACAAAAGAAATGCCTTTAATATTTGTAAAAAGGGCAAAGTCCTGCAAATGTTAGGTCAAATGATGCCAGTGTTTCATCCCAGATTTTGCATGCAAGGCAATCATTGATAATCAGAAGGTACTTAGATATCCTCATCCGCTTGTGCAGAATGGGTGTTGCAGTTTTTTAAAGATAGGCTGAAGAAAGGAGTGCACTTTGAATGTAATATCTTTTGCATTTACTCTTTAAATCAAACCCCTCTAAACAAAAGCAGTTACTTCTGAATCACAGCTTTGCTTGTATGCATAAATTAACAAACTTCCTTTATGCTCTGAATGTTTGTAAAACATTTTCATTCTGAATATTTCTGTCCATGTAAAACAATTTTTTCAATAATATATAAAAACATCTATACTATTTTGAATAGATAAAATAACTTGAGACACAATGCTTTATCTTACATCCTCTGCAATGTATTATTTGCAGTTTTCCTGTAATGATGGCCCTATGACACAGTTTTTTACTGCACGATAACATAAAGCCAGATCCTATCTCCTTGAAATCAGTGTGAATTTCCTCTCTGCTTTCAATCAGTACAGGACTGAGGCCAGGAACGTTCACATCGTCACGGACAGCTTCCAGGAAATGTAATTGAATATTTTAGTGAATGAAAATAAAATTTAAAAACCTCTAAAAAAAGAACCACTTAATTGCCTTAAATAGTCCATATTCCCTTAAAGCAATGATTCTGTAATTTCACAGTAGAGTCTATAATATCAATATGTACTGTACATGTGTTGTTATCAAATTCATTCTGCTCACTACCAGCTACCCTAAACCCCACTTCCTTAATCTTTATTTACAAACAAAATTTCTTAAAGTACTTGATACGGTTTCCTGCCAAAACTGATGTGAGTTCTATGCATACTACCAGCATCCATTACTGAGGAGCTTCATAGAACCACTGTGCGAAGTTACCTTCTTTTGAAAGCAGATCTGATGTCAATGGATTGGGCAGCCTGGGAAGACTCTATGAAATAACAGTAATACAGGAATTAAAAACTTAATCTGAAATTAATGTAATTCATGTAATCAGTGCAACTTGTCATATGAAATTTGTTTAGTGTCCTGCTAAATGACCACCATTTGTGCTGCTCCGCTGGCAGTAAGTTCTGATAAATGCAAAGCTGTTCAATGCTAAGGTAAGTTTAATTAATGCATTTCTCTAAACTACTTTTTGCAGTTCTGCATAGATCTCTCTCAGTGGTGTTTCTCTCTGATCCCCTTCCTGCCTATATGCAGACTCTGGCCTTTTTGTTTTCCCATTCCCTATGCTCTCTCTCCTGCTGGCATCTTGCACTTTCTCAGTATGCTCAGCAACAGAAGAAAGAAATGGTCCTCTCTGTAACTGCTGACTAGTTTTGATCCTCAGTGCAAAGATGAATCCCTCTTGTGTGAATTATCTATTTGTGCCAGACTGAATCAGATTAAATGGTTCTGATCCATAGCCAGTGAATGGATGCAGCCAGGTTGGCCTCTGCCTTGCTAACCTCTTAATACACACACACACCTATGCCCCCCAGGCTGTCAGTCAGCTGCCAAATGTCCCCTTAACTGTGACTGGCTTCCCCTGACTAGTGAACAGTCTGGTTTAGGCCATTCAGTAGGCATGCTTTATGAGGGTGAGCAACTGGTTTGTCCTCTGGCTGCTGGTCCTGGAATTTTGGAAGACGTCCATCTTTCTCGGTCTGATCGTGCAGGTATTTGTGCACTGTTGTGCTGGCAGAACTGCTTTCAAAGGAAAAGATAAGCCTATGTGTGGAGGTTTGCCAGAGTAAGACCTTTTACAACACAGAAGTAGACAACGGCACTGCTCTCCAGTGCTCTCCACGTTGTATTAGTCTTTACTTTGACAAAGAGTGGAAGAAATAGCTTTCTGTAGTATGATCCTACCATGACTGATCGGCATGCAAAGCACTGGCAAGCCATGAGCACTCCATGTCCCTCTGTTCAGATGCTGCCAGATGGAGCCTTTCTCAACAGCCTAAGCCTAGCTCTTTGTCTTGTGTGCCAGAGCCTGACTTGAATTCAGTACTAGTTTTATCTGCCAGCTTTTCTAATTTCTGCATAAATATCTCACATACTATCTATCCCAATGTTCATTTGAACAATAACTTGCAGACACTTAAGAAAATTCTCTGAGCACTATGCTAAAAAAGTTCATTGTAAGCATTGCTTCATTTAAAGGTTCTGAACAAAATTAGGTGGCATTTCTGGTTTAAAAAAAATGTCTTTATAAAGCCTTAAAGACACAAATGGACTCTTACCAGTAACTTCAAGGTCAAAAGAGCAACTATCAAACTTGTCCTTATAAGACACTTCACAGCGATAGTTCCCTGCGTAGTTCTCTTTAGCTTTAATGATATGCATCTCAAATGTGTGAATCTAAAAATCAAACATGATTGTTCATTAATGTGAGGGTTACATTTGCACAAAGCACAAGTTAAAGGATTAGTTTTTCAGACCTAAACCAGGAGCAAGGAATAACTTGAATAAAGGGCTCTGGAAAGAAACTGCAACCCAGAAATGGCAATGGAAAACTTTGTCTCCACCACTACTTGTCCTGAGTGGGGAAAACAGAAAATTCTGCTTCTAAGCAGGATCAGAGATCATCACTGAAAACTGCATGGGAAAGGCAGAGTTAGAAACCACTGCTCTTGAATTTCTACCTGTTGTCTTAAGCTGACCTTTAAGCTCTCTTTAGAGCTTTGCCCCATTAAGAAAGAAAAGCAAAGACACACCTTAGTGTGACGCTCAAAGGACTCTTTCAGCTGCAGGTGCTTCCCTGCTTTACTGGCCAGGTCCATCCATTTTCCTTTGAACCACTTAACATTTGGCTTTCGAAGAAGATCTTTGGCTTCTACTTTGGCTATAAATGTAATATTTCCACCTTTTGAAAAGTAAAAAAAGAACAATGCAGTCATTGAGGAACGTGTAGTCACATCTGTACAAGTTTCTTTTACTACTGCTCCATCCAGTCTCCACGTGCTTGCTCTACAATGACAATAAGAATCAGATAGAGTCACACAGGCTATGAAAGTACTGCAGTCTTATAGAGATTACTGATTTGGGGTCTGGAATCCTTCTGCCCACACTGACGTGGACCTCGAGACACTGAGAAGCAGGATAAATTAGTTGAGGCAAAACTCCATGTTCTCATGGGTAAATTGTTCTAAATATTTGTATTTCCTTGCCTAAAACAAGAACAGGTATTTCTAGGCTACTAGGCAGTTGTAACATGAATAAACTCCAGTCTGGAAAAGAATGCCTGGAGCTCTTAATGCATTTCTATTATTGATTGTTTAAGCTGAGAAGAGAGGGAAAGAGCCTCCTCTAAACAATAATTTGGGAATAGTAGAAGTTAGCTCAATTTTCAGAGCATCACTGCCCAGTCCCTTCTGATTTTCCATTCTAATACTCATGGGCTCCAGAGAAGACAAACTCCTTAAATTTATTTTCTAATTATATTTTCCCCAAATGATAGTTTTCTACTTAGAAACTGATAAAAATAATAGGCATGCATAAACACACCCCACCCAACCCTCCATCTGACTACTTAGTGTATCCAAGTGCAGAACAGACATAGATATCCTGTACTGAACTTCTCACCATTGTTCCTACCCTGCTTAGGATGCAGCTACCTTACCATAATAGCATGGCTAAGGAGTGCAGTTTGGAAGGGAACCTCCTAGCCATTCCCATTTACTGTGCTCTGGTTCACAACACGGAAAGTCCTCACAGTGCTTGAACTCAGTTCCTCTAGGGTGGAATTAAAATCACAGATGTGCTCTCAGTGTTTGCCAGCTGTGCTCTGGCTGGTCATAGGTATGTAGGCCACTGGACTAAACCAGTGCTAGTTCAGAGCAAATTCCCCAGAATGGTTACAATGGGGTGACCTATCAGCTTCCCTGCAGAGCTGCTCCCATTAGTCTACTTGCTAATTTGCAGCTGTAGGGCACAGAGGTTGACCTGGCAATCTCAAAGCTGTGCTGGCAGGCCTTTGGGTAGATCTTTGTGACATATCAATGACAGTACAGCCAACAGCATTACAGTAACCAGCTCTCTTCTCCAGAAATTATACCTCTTACCCATTGTGCTTAGTAAACTATTAGATTTTAAGCTTGTCTTGAATTAAACAATTGGGTTTTGCTTCTCTTTGTACAGTTTTTTTTGTCTTTGAGAAGTAGAGTTCACATCCAGCTACAATCTGTTTCGCTGAGGGCAGAAGCTGAGTGTTACAAGAACTTCACATACCTTTCCTGCCTCTGCCTCGGTCCCTGCCTCAATGTGAGTGGCCTTTGATTTTGTTTCTAAGCACTTACCAACACTCACTGAACCACTCTGAGGTTTTTCAACGAATAGAGTGGACATTTGGGAATCATCACGTTTTTCTGATTCTTCTGGAGCTCCTTCTCCAATAGACCATACTAAGATGCAGAGAGAGAGAGGGAAATATTAATCATCTGAGTGGGTTTTCCTCCCTCTAAAATGCACTTACCTGAACTTACTGAACTCTCTAACCCTATTACCTTTCTCTTCAGATGTCCTGAAAGATATGTAAGTTTTTGCTCATACTGACATCCACTGCTTGACTGTCACATTGTGTACAGTTCCTGCAAGAATGCTGCCTCTGTGGTGACAGAAAATGAAACTATCTGGGAGGAAGAGAGGGGAACCTGATCAGCCAAGATGGGTGCTGAGCAACTTGAATGGCACCAGCATTCAACCATGAGTGCTTTACAGAGGAAATGCACAAAGGTCAGCTCTTTGTTTTTCAGAAGAGATGGAGGTTCTGAAAACACAAACAGCTGTAAGCACAAAAAACCACATATGATGCGTTGTCAGTGGGTCTATCTCAAACCCAAACTCAGTCAATTGTACAAGCTATTTTTTATTATTTGTCCTTAAAATAAGGCATGGATGAAACTTACTGATGAACCTTGTTCTTTTCTACCATTATAGAAACAGAAAGTTGGGGATCAGTCAGTGCGTATCCTGCCATGTGCATTGGCTGATGTTCTACAGAAAAAGTTTGTCAGATGGAAATGACTGTGTCATGTGTTCAGACACAGCATCTTCTCTTCTGGACATTGGGATTTTGGAACTGAAAAGGAGCAATTGTACTAAAAGAAGCAGCAAATGAGCAGTTTCCCCAGGGCAGAAAACAGTCTGAGCACAGCTGTTCATTTCTGGTCTTTCTGCTCATCTGAGCAGTCCTGGCTTTGTGCTATGCAGTTATATCTCAGGCAAAGTACACACAAAACCATGGCCAAAGCTGATTGTGAATAGAAAAGACAGGGAAAGCAAGGCAGCAAACTTCTGCCTGCTACCTGCTCCCTTTCTGCAGAAAGGCAAAGCATGTGTCTCATTTTCCAAATGAGAACTTGTGGAATCCAAATGCCACATCTCCTTTTTTTTGGCAACTTACTGCCAGTGCATGGGGGAAACTGAGTAAAGCCATTGTTGCCATGGTAGTACTGAAGAGCAGAGCAAATGTGGAAGTTATAATTAATAAAGCTATTGGTCTCTTTCAACTCAGAGCTGCATCTCCCTTGTTCCCCTCGAGCTTCTTGTTTCAGAAGTGAAGGTAGATTTTTATAGCGTATCCAATGCTCTTTTCATTTTGGTTTCATAACTAGCATAAATGAGGAACCAGCCACACAACACTTCCCCCTTAGTCAAACCCTGGTCTTGAAATTAAAAGTTCCTTTCCCTGTTCAGTATTTTCTGTAGAAAGTCATTTTCCTGAAGTCAGAATTGTAGAGGTTACTGATACAGGAACCTTTCTAACTCATGAAGATTTCCATCATTCATGAATGCAATGTAACTTGTGACAACAATGGGAAATGCAACCAAGCTGTTTTGATTATCCCAAAGTCTATTAGGAAATTTTAAAAGATATAGAAATGCTAGATTGCTTTGGCTACAAAATCTTTGCCTTTCAATCTTTCAGTGAATTATGGGTGGTGTACCTAACACATCTGTGTATGTTTGCTTGTACAATATTACAGGTAAAGACATTCATGTATATACACACATGTATATACACATATATGAAAACATATATACAGACATACATGAACACAAATATATATATAGATACACATCTATATATACTCTCTCTGCAATCTGTTTATGTTTAGATTATGCCAGTATAACATGGTAGTATATGGAAACAATGTAAGAACAAATGATAGTTACTGGTATGAACAGAATGAGGTGACAATGCTCAGTACAGGACCTGGTCACATGCAGTAACCTAAGACATCACAGGGTGAAATGGAAAAAGGATATTAATAAAAGGAAGAAGCTTACATAGAGTCATTAATTCGGTACCACACAAAATAACACCTAAATATTATCATCACCTTTACATATTAACTTTTTCCTATTTATTAAACAAACAGAACAAAATGTGGGTTTGACGTTGGCTCAGGGAGCTGGCATAGGCGGCTATGCCAGGTCAATAACCATGGTTGAAGTACCTGCTGCTCATTTTGTTCCAGAGGCTGCAAATCCTGAAACCACAAAAGTGGGTGCAGTATGCGTTACCTGCCAGGGTAGGAAGAAAGAGGTTATGACTTTCCTAAGTTTTTCCCACCATCCTTTGAGCTGTGAGAAGAAGCCATTCTCCTACAGTCTCCTGGGGCCTGCGTGTGGGATTAAGGTATCAGGTAAGCCACTGTCACCCTGTAGGCTGAGGAGGAAGGGAATAGCTGCATATCTATCTATATAGAAGTAGGTATAGATAGATAGGTATGTATGTATGTGTAAAATATTGATACATGTCCTGTCTTCTACAGCAGAGCTGTCTCTCACTCCTTGTTTAGCTGCTAGAACCCTATTCGATTTGATGCTTAAAAGCATTTCCACAGCTATAGTTTGAGGCTGTATAAGCAATGAAAACAAAAATAAATATTGTCTTTAAGATTTAAAGTATTAAGAATAACTGTATTAGTTAATTTTGGAGTGCTTCATGTTTTTCAGGAGGTCTCACCTGAATCTTTTCTTTCTGCTGGCTTAGACATCCCATCTGAAAGGGAAGAGCAATTTAGATGACACCAGCTCAGAAGTCACAGCCTAACTAACCTGAGATTTTAAGAACATTAATTCTTCATGCAAGAAGATTACACTAAATACTTATGAACATACCCATGATGAACTACTTGAATACCAGAAAAAGGAAGTGAAGAACTAAGAAAAAAAACTCAGAAATCTTTTCCCCTTTCTCTAGAAAATGTAAATTAGTTTAGTTAAATTCCCATTCAAGTTTTCCTTGTTAGCGGTTTGTATTTCGAAGGATTCCATGAGGCTAATGTTTTTTTCATGACTTGTCTAGTTCCAGAAAATAGGCAAATTTATATTGTTCAATGTTTGTCTGAGAGGATAGTACTTTGAATTATTTAAACAGCCTATTTGTTTATCTAGGTTAAGCAAAATAATGACAGTTAAAATGGCATTTTAGAGGGTTGTGATTACAATATTATTTATATATTTAGTGTTCATCAATCAGGTACTCTAGTACCGTGCAGTAATGTACTGCTACTGACTCTACAGATAGCATTCAGCCCAAAGTTAATAATGCAAATTCTTTTGGGAGAAATCTGGAAAAATGTGATCATTTAGGGGAATAAAAGTAATTAAAAGCATAAAAGCATATTTTTCACTTGAAACACTTCAAAGCATTTTCTAGTGTTCAAAACTGTGTTTCATTCATTTTATTTTTAAAAATCTTATTAAACAAGCAATGAAGAAATTCTGCCTATGTCACATCAATCATGATGGACCCCTGTGCTGTTGCTTTTCTTTTACTGACAGCAACCAAAGGCATTTTATCTGCCAGCTTAGCAGCAATGGCTTGGAGTAGTACGTTCAAACTACCTTGTAGGTCTTATGGCCTAAAGCGAGGTGATAAATAATTATGTGGATAAACCTTTTCTGAACTCATAAGGCATCTGTTTAATTTTAATTCTGGAATTTCCTCTCAAGACTAACCTGAAAAATGCATTCCATGTCTGTTGATAGAAAAAAGACAAGGGGAGTTGCTTTCAGAGCTGCAAGCCAATATTTTACCTTTATTTGGCAGTCCTTCCATAGACCTCAAGTCAGGATCGGAAAGGAACTTATCTGCTATGAAGGTCTTGTACTTCTGAACAGAGTTCAATTTAATGTAAGGCACTTCAAGAAAATTTTTCTCTAATTAGTCTAAGTTCAGTCTAACGGTTTGGGCTCTTTCTTCATTAACAGTCAAGAGAAAAGTACATACATACATACACACACAAAGCACTACCACGGTCCTAACCTGCTGGTGGAGTACTAACTGAAGTATCATCTTCGTCTGTGAAAAGAAATACAAATAAAAAGGTACATAAAGAACCTGAAAGCACAGAGGATCATATGTTTTCTAACAACTACATGAAAATGTAAAACCTGCAAAAGAAAAGGAAAGAAATCATAATAGTCAGGAGCATTCACAATGGAAGCTTCAAACTGATGAAGAAAGCTTTGCATAATTCAGTAGCTGAAATGGTAAACCTTAATGTTTCAAGCAAGTAAAAGAAAAATGAGATGTGGAGAGGATCTATTATTAAATCATGAGTTTATATGAAAGCTGCTGAGTGGTTCTGTTTGTTAGAGATGTAATCCACAGTAAATACAAAAAAAGCCACAATGAAATCAAGGTCAATCACATATCTGACCTGAGGAAGATGCCATTTCTCTGATGACCATGTCTGCAATTAAAATGTGCACCATATATGCATTCAGCATTATTAAATCAAGATATGCAACATTTAAAACCAGAACCCCATATTTATACTTTGTAATTTCCATGTTAGAATATTAAATTAAAATGCAAGGTATAAAAAACTGATTTTTCCTATATTACAGCATAATAAGTGACAAAAGTATTACCATTACATTGGATTGTACTTTTAATCACACTAAAAGTTGATTATCATCAGGTATTAAATCACTATAAGCAATTGCTATTCAGGTATCTTAAAATTCTTAATCTCATACAGTACATTGAGGTACATATTTATATGAATTAAAAATGTGGGAAAAAAAATTTAAACTGGCATTAGATCTGAAATACTGAAATCATGATCATGAGAAAACCAGAATAAGTTAAAGACTATCTTTACAAGAGTTTTCTACGTCCCTTTGAATTTTTGATGTTCACTAGAAGCCTCAGAGATGCCAATTTCTGATAAAAATATGAAAAAAGTTTTAGTGTCTTCAAAGCCTAATTAAAAAAAAAAGCCAAACAAAAAACCAATATAGCATTTGAAGAGCTAGAAAAGACTGAACATATTTAGTATTTGATACATATGTACTGTAAATATAACATGTCTTTTGAATAGTATCAGAAAATCATCTGGAGAATATTTCAAAATTGAAAAGACAGTTGAACAAGAACAACTTTGGAAAAATATTAACCCACCTTCTTAAAGAGTTATTTGGGGTTTTTTTTTAGATTTTAGATTTTGGTTTCCAGAATCAAATTTTAACCTGAAATTATTGTTTGATTTTGACTTTAAAGTTATAATTTGTCTATATTTTCTCAAGGACAAATGCAGTAACTATGATGAAACCACATCTAAAATATAGTTGCATTTTTGTAAGTAGTGATCATACTGTTTTGTGTTTGCTTATCCACTGAAGGCTAATTGAAAGTCGGTTAATAGAATTTAACTACTTAGCCATAACATTTTACTCATTCCTTTTTAATGATTCATCAAAATTCTTTTTAAAAATCCCTTGGGAGGAGGATGTCAGTTGTAAAAGGTAGACCTACACATGGAGGATTAATGTGTTATAAAGATGATTTCTTATTCACAGCAAAAAAGAAATTAAAAATTCATTTAGTGGAAGAGTTCTCAGCACCTGCATCATCCAGTGGCATAAGCAGACGATAATGTTGATTTTCAGTGAAAGTACAGTAGCGATGAAGTCATGTCAGATGTTTTAACATACTGTGTTGGCAAGTAAATGAATGCAAGGCTAAGTAATTCTACTGCAAATCTTTGTCCATATTTCATCAAAGTAAAACCTGTGCTTTCAGCTCTTTTTGTCAATGATGTCATCATCGTGATTGGCTTGAAGAGGTATTCTTCTGGCCAGAATATTCTCTCTGGCCAGAAAAAAAAGTATTTAAGATCAATCAACATAAAACTTTTGATGTTATGCACCCTATATGGTGATGTATGATAATCACACTGTTTAAGGTATTTGACTTGTTTTCTTTAAACATTTGAAAAGCTAAAACAACAAAAGGTGTTAGTTTTGCAGAAGGATTGTTGGGGTTTCTCCTGGGTAATCTATAATTTTTCAGATAAAATGTTAACATGAAACACAAACAAATCAAACCAAACAAACATTTCAGAAGTATCAAAATGAAAGCATAATTGAATGTGCTGTAAATGGAAAGAGTACAAAACCAGTATATGCCAGTTATGAGAAATGGGTAATTATCAGTCCATTACTCCTTGTATCTCAGGCTTCTAGGACAAAATGAAATGACTACTGAATAAATACGAAAAATGGCTCAACAGCTATAACCAATTTACTTTTGGTGATGAATGGTTGTTTAACTTAGTAATAAATTCTATTTAAAGATAACAAAAAAATGCAATAATGCCAGTCCTGGCAGTAGAACTATGATCATTAGTTCACAGTCCTTATCTTCTGCAAGTAAACTTTTAATGGAATGTATTTAGTAATATGTTATATGACAAGAACTAGTTAAGAAGAAACACTTCTTTCAGCTACTCTACAGAGATTTTTGTTCTTCGGCTTCTATTCATCTGTGGCATATTTTCATTAACAAATAGGATATTTATGTTTATTTCCTTGTATCTAAATGATCACATTAACTGAGCACTAGGTCTTTTGGAGCTCAATCGGGGCAGAGTCTTGTAGAATGAAAGAACACTTCCTATCTCAAAATTAGCTAATGTGAAACTTCTTTATTACTCACAGTTAGTGTAACCTCAATATTAAAATTTCTGACAGCTGACACAGCAAAAGTGTAGAAAAATCTGTCAAAATATAAGTAATAACTTCTGATTTAGATATGAACTGCTGATACCAAGAATTTTATATTTTATACTTTCCCTTGATTTGAAATCCACCATACAAAAATGGAAGATGCTATTCTGCCATCAGTCATGTTGTTGATCAACTTTGCAGAAGTGGCAAAATCACAGTGATCTATTCTTTTTCTTTTCTATTTTCTGGCTGTTTAAAAAAAGACTTGAAAACCTTGTGTCAGCGTCAAAAGCCTGATGCTACACAATCTGATACGGGAATTTTGGAAGTGACTCCACTGGAACAGCATCTCAAACCTGATTTAATCAGCTAACGGAGCTGGTAAACTTATTAGTCTTTCTTTGTTGTTTTTTTGCCCGCTCTTGCTCACTGACAATGGGAGCTGGCATGAGAAATATGGCAAAGTTGTAAATGGTGGAGAGACACTGGTTTGCAACTGCAGGTGTCTTCAGAGTGCCTTAACATTTACATGTGCTTCCATACAGTGGAGCAAGTGTACCAAGTTAATGGAGGAGGTATGAAAACACCTCAAAGAGTGAACCTGTGTCTTTGTGGTGCATAAATAAATACAGAGTAACTCAACCAACTGGCTGAGTCATTTTGATTTGTGTTGAAGTTACTGAGCACAGTTCAATCCTTCTGAGACTAAGTTTAAAATTTAGTTGCCTCCAATTACCCATCTGATTTTCAAAGAGCATTCAGCACTTGTCATTTTGGGAATGGTAAATGAAGTACCTTTGTACAGCGATGGAAGTTTTAGTAGCAATATGAATGGATAAGTGAAAGCTGGGAACATAGAAGAATGGAAAATGAAAACATTTTAGTAGATGGTTTGATGGAACCTAGAGAAAAAGGTACCACTAAAACATGCAGAAAACGCATGACTGGATGTGACCTAAAAAGGAATGAGCAAATTTGATGCCAAAATTCAATTATTATTCCAGCAAGTGGAAACACTTTTATAACAATATTCAATCTGGAAGACAATGCTAAAATCAAAAGCAAAGGAAGAAAAATTTAAATTGAATGAGTATGGGATAACATAGTAAATTTGATGGAATTACTGCTAAGTCACCTTTTTCCTCTGAAAATAAAAGGGAAGATCATATATATCCTGAATTCTTAGGACATTATTTCAGATAAGTTTGAAACTAGAAATATTATAAAATATTATTTTATTCAAAGATTTATTTTTACTATTCTGAGAGACTGTTTTACAGAAAAATAACCATAAGATAACAGATAATTTATCACAGTCTGCCATTTATTAACTTTACAGTGAACATAAAAGAACATAAATATGTAATTTCACACAGACAATAACTACTAAAAATAAGTCGAACAGTAAAACAGACACACAGATAGGTGTACTTTATCTTCCTAACTTCTGCTGTTAACTTTGTTTTAGAAATGAGGTGAAAATTATGGACTATGTGGTTTATGTGGACTACCTAGCTTTCTTTCCTAAATACCAGGTTCCAGGACATCCTGACTTTGTGGCAGAGAGGGGTTGTCCCAGGTTCCTACAGGGTGCTGTTTCTTATAAATTATTAGCAAAGAGGTTATAACTGCTGACACACGAGTATTGTAAAATCACCGTTGAATTTGGATATGAAATCTTTTGCATCTCATTCTCATTCAAGGAAGTACCTGAATCTGAAGCAGTACCTGTTTCTGAAGCTACAGAAACAGTTTTCTAAACAGCTTATACAAAAGCTAACATTTAGCTAGTTCTGTCCTCATTTCCTTATGGAACTGCTCATTTTCTAGTGTAAATGATTTTGGACAGATTGGAAAAATCGAAACTTTTCCTATTTTGTGAATTATGCTCACCATTATAGAGATTTTCTGGCAAACAAACATGAAGGAATCACTCTAAGAAAATAGACTTTCCCTTACTGGGTGATACTCTGCAACAAAACAGGAGCTGATAGGAACAATTGCTTTATACCTAATTGAAAAAAATAATTACTACCAAGTGCCTGGCAATGACATATACATTGCCTTGCAGCGGTAATAGTTTCACTGGAGCGTGGCAGAAGGTCATTCTTTCTACATATTGGTATTCAGACTTTCACTGGGATTCTGAGGGAGCTGCTGCCACCATAGTCTGAAACTGGAAGCACTTCCCGTGTTAGGATCTCAAGCCATTTTTTGGTAGCAAAATCCTCCTAAACAGGGGAAGCACCAAGAAATCACCCATCCCAACCCCCCCCCCCCCCCCGAAATACCTGTATTTTTCACTAAATTCAGACCAGAAATATAATAATGTATAAAAAGATAACAGAAATATTTGATAAGATACCTACCATGTTTTCTTTTTTATTCAGTACAATGTAGAATTGTAAGCAGTGGGGAAAATGCCATTCATGTTCAGTTTGGGAACAAACATTATTGTTGTATCAAAATTAAAGCAAGCAAAACTAAATGCTGGAATAGGTTGAGGCAAGACCTTCATCTTCTTTCCTATCATTAGGCATGCAAATTATTCCTGACTTGTGTTTCCATTACCAAGATGACAGATTTGATTACTCACACAAAATTCTGTGTGTCAAAATAATTGCTTAATGCAAAGTTAGCTGGCAAAATAACATGCACTGAATCCTGGTTCAGCATTTTCATTTTCAAAAGAGTATGTGAATCACACACTCTCAGCGTTTTTATTTTGACTTTGCTGAGAAAAATAGCCATGCATGTCGTTGCCAAATGAATCTGCAAGTATCAAGTATGCATCCAGTCTGTCTAAAAGGCAAGATTTTGTCTGGAAGAGACCAAAAGCCAGCATACATTTTCAAGCAAGTCTTTTCTTGATTTGCCATGAACATGAAAAAGTATAACCGTGCCAAATCAAAAGCAAGCATTGCATCAGTTTTAAGTATATTTTGGTCTGCATTAGCCTTTGAACAGAATGAAGAAATAAAAAAATATTATTCATTTCAAAGAGAGCTGATGAGCAGTTTGAATTCTACTTTGGCATGAGTACAAACAGGAGCAGAATTTGGCTCATTTCTCTCAAAATGTATTTTTGTAACTGGAAGAATTACCAATAGAGCTGGAGTCTAATCTCAGCAGCACAAAAATATATATTAAAATTGGACCTGATTTTTACATGCATTGGTATATGAACAGCTATGTGTTTGTTCACAGCAGACAGTCCTCAAAGATCTTTTTCAGAACTTGTAATGAGCTCAGCTGCTGGGCTTCCCAATGAGAACAGAAAGCTGAATGTGTGATTTCATTTTTTTCGGATGAAAAAAAAATCTATTGGACTGCACTGAAAAGTAAAACATGCAATATCAAGTTTCTGGTTTGGAATAGAATTAGCTTAGAATGACAGTAGGAGACTGTCTGCTTTATTTAAAAGCTACCAATGTGCATAGGATCCAAGTTTTAGCAAGCTTGGTCAGTGCCAGCTTCCAGGCTCACTTAAACATCACTTTCTGCAGCAAACTTCTGAATTAAAGCTCAAGCAATCCAGCATCAGAAGTGTATTTAGGAATGTTCTCTTTACTGCCCATTTTTTAAATATGATTTCAGACTTACCTTTATCCTTTCCAGTTCCACCATCCTGTGGTGTTTTTTGTTCTGTGTAGGAAGTACAAGTATAGTTTTGAGAGGATCTTGAAGTAAAGAGAAAAACTTACACAGCATTAAAAAATACAGGAATATTCTAGGTTCTGCTAGTAGTGAAAAACCAAAATTAAAAAATTACTGATATATCTGTATATGGAATATATATACAGTTAAAAACCCATGAAACATTTTGCAACTCTGCATAACAATGTGTTTTTTATGTTTTGAAGTAATATAAGATTGATGATCCTATACTCAGTGGAAGAAAAATACTGGGTGCTTTAGATGTAGGAATTGTTAGTCTGTTGTTCTCAGTCTTATTTGCAGCAAGCTTTGAAATAAGTTACATACTGTTAATTTTAATGGAACTGGTATCCAGAGCTCTATCACTCTAATCAGTTTATCATCAAGGCAAAGTTCACAACAGAGTATATTGAGAGTGTTCTTAATTCCTTACCATCTTCACCATTATCATCATAATCTTTCCTAAGATACTTGTTTTTATTTTAGCTGATGAGAATAGTTGCCAGCTTGTCCTATACTCCAAGCATGGGAATGTGAGTTATCTTAGACCTCATATGAGAAATGAGTATGAGAAATGAGTATGAGAAACAAGTATGAGTCCGAGAAAACTTGGACTGTATTTTCAACAAAATAAAAATCTCTACACTTTCTGTATTTCAGGATTTGATAAGGTTCCTATTTTCTGTGATTTCTTATTTAATTTGCATACAAGGCTACTTAGAGACTAGTCAAATCATATGAACCATGCTGTCTTAAAGGTTAAAACACTCAGTGTTCTATTGTCTGTAAACAATGACTTCTGTGTCAAAATTACCTGTCAAGTGCCTGATAGAACATGGGTTTGAGGGAAGGTCAGTTTCAAGATTTAAGCTAAGTTAACTTTTGTGACATGGAGAAAGTATCTGCAAGAGCTAGTTGATATTATGTTTATCCTGATTTCTTGGCCACATGTGCATAGCCACGGTTACTATAAAAATCAAATTCGAAATTTGGAGTGTAAGTCCATATTCTGGAAGCATGACAGACTCCTGAATGCTTCTGTCTGGATTCCCTATATTTCTGGTTGTCAGGTTGTCCACCTTGGCCTTTTTAATGGGAGTTTTCCTACAGTAACACTTTTCTTTCCTGCTAGGAACTGGGATTAGGGGAATTCATCTTTCTTGGAAGTTGTCATTACGTCTAAATCCCATTTGAAAACCTGATAATGGCTAACTACACCAGCTTGGTGGCTTGACATTGAGATCTACAAGGAGCTTTTAGAACAGCTTCCAAAAAAATTGCTGGTGCAGTTCAAGATGCTGATTATGTCCAATAAGCTATTTATATATTATAGCATTTAGATTCTTGAACAACCAATTTCCCTGTTTGTGTGATAGCACCTGGTAATCCAAGATGTCAGCATCTTGAGTCAGGCAAAGGGAGAAGAGACTGGCACTTCCAGTTTAGAAAAATCTCTGTTTGGTCTGTGCCTAACATGAAAGTCTACTGACAACCTACTTGCTTTACCGAAGAAGTACAGATATGTGGAAAAGGTAGGGGGTTATAGGAGTGATTTTGTATCTAATCCTGTATACTTAAATAGAAATGAAGGAGAATTTATTTATCTGAAAATAGATGTTTTTAATATAAGTCCTTGAAGATGCTATTCCTTTCTTCCTATAAAAAGCATTTTCTCATTTCATTTCTACTTAAGACTGATGAAGAACATGAATTGAAGTGCAAAATATACCATATAAGGCTCTCCGTGTGTTGAAGTTAATTACTTTAATATGAACTGAGCGGATCTTATGGTTGAGTGCAATACAACCATCATGAATGAAATGCCAATTATTTATTTTTTACAAATGCATGCAAGAGTTCATTCTAACATGAAAATAACATATGGGTTATTTAAACATGAAAATCCTGGTACTACGTCCAGACTTTGTAATTTTTTAGAGTGTATCTCTTAAAAATGTCTTGAATCAGACTCATAAAATGCCAGTATGCAAGACTGTAAGTAAATGCAGGTTTAACACCCGAAGAGTATTTATTCTGTTTGATATTGCTGTTTAGGTAGCTACACAAGGAGTACAATTCACCAAATGCATATATTAGACATGCATAATGTGTGTACATATTAACCAGCATCTGAGAATATAACTTCAGTTACTCAATGCAAATCAAACCCCCAAGGCAAAAACTTGCTTCCCTTTCCAGTTTTCATTAAAGAAAATGTAGCAGCTCTGCACAGAGCTTCAGCTTTACCCGAAGCCCTAGTTCTTGTGAATGATTTTCACCTCATCTAACTTTGGCTTCCTGGAAGTTACTTATCCAGTCCCTTCTAGACAATCAGACTGCTCAGGCCAATTGCCTATACATAGACATCCAATGACATTTTAGATAGGTTATCCAAGAAATGCCCATAGGATGAACATGGGTGAGACCCAAGAGCTACTCCACTGGTTATAGGTGAAGCACTGTTGAACAAGATATCTAATCTTCAGATGGCTAAAATTAGATGAAATGAAACCCATGCTTAATTCTGTCAACTTTATTCACAGTGTACCTTCAAGGAAAAATGAAAGGGAACATTTTGATAACTAGATGCTGTGCAGCATCAAATAAGACAGCATTATTTAAACAGAATTTAAGCAGTCATAATTTTCTTGTATTGTGAAGGACATTTGCATGATTAAGCAATCAACAAATATGACAAATGAAAATTGAGTCTGAAAAATCAACATCCAGGCAAAGTGAAGCAAGCATATCTTATTTCACTTTTCTTACTATTCTTTCACTTTCAAAGGAACAATGAACAGAAATCATATTATGGGTATGTGGAATCTAGTCTTCTGCAGCCATTGTTAGTGTTACAGTGCAAATTAGTATTTTAACACTGACCTGGAGGTGGTGGTGCACTTTCTGTTTCAGTCTCTGAAACATAAGGAAAGAAGACAGATATTGAGCTTCAAGTAAAAGCAAGTATTTTTCACACATTTGGTATATACTTGTTAAATTTAGATGCAATTTGGGTTCATTTAATATTTTAATGCAGTTCTCAAATATTTTTTTGCTTTCACACATGCCATACATGACTTCTTTAAAGTGACATTGTCAAGGGCTTATGCTTTGTGAAGAGAGGGCACTGAACTTGTTCAGTCTGGAGAGATATAATGCTCTTAGTATCATAGAATCATTTAGTTTGGAAAAGACCCTTAAGGTCATTGAGCCCAGCTGCTAACCTAGCACTGCCAAATCCACCACTGAACCATGTCAGTAAGTGCTACGTCTACACCTCTTTTAAATACCGCCAAGGAGGGTGACTCCATCAGTTCCCCGGCAGCCTGTTCCAATGCCTGACAACACTTCTGGTGAAGAAATTTTTCCTCATATCCAGCATAAACCTTCCCTGGCTCAGCTTGAGGCCATTACCTCTTGTCCTGTTACTTGTTACTTGGGAGAAGAGACTGACAGCTGCCTTGCTACAATCTCCTGTCAGGTAGTTCTATAGAGCAATATAATGTCCCCCTGACACACAGGTCATCCACCTGCATATATTCAGTATATTTTCAGACACTTTGGCAATTCCAGTTCAGACCAGTTCTGGAATATCATGGAATAAAATCTGAATTTCAAGTTTGGGTTTGACATGTTTAAGGCAGTTTATCATGATCCTGTGCTTAAATGTATCACATTGATATGCTTCAGTCACATGATAGTCTATATTTAAGTAATTTTTCCATCAACTGGAATAATATCTGATATGACTTTAATCATGAAGTGTAATGGATCCATTAACTGAGGACGATCATGCACAGAGAATCCAGAGACCTTAATCTCACTTTCACTATACCATTAGATCTAGAGTTCAGTGTTCTGTTCAAGTAGAAAGCAAAAGAATCAGCTTAACTGCTCTGTGTAGGTCCTATAGTATGTTTGGTTTTTCTTTCAGTGATGATTTTTAATCTAAATCTCCTCCCTTTTAGATGTGTGATGCAGAAACCAGGCCTTTTATCCTATTTATATATTATCTTCCTGGGATGACAGGTTCTCCAGTCTAAAAACATTAAGGACAAATTAACTAGATGAAATTTATTTTTAATATATTAAAGGAAGATTATTTTCAACCTGGAAAACCTTTCTGACTCTAGACTGGTTGAATATGGTAATACTTGCTTGAGATAGTGCATTGAGATGATCTTAAGGTCCTTTCCAAGACTAACTATTCTATGATTCTATGACTTATACTTAACTACTTGTGACAAGCAATGGTTTAAAAGGTTGAAATCCCTGACTGTAACAGTAGATGTCTTTCACTAACCTTTTTCATGTTTTGGGTATTAACGTTTAGGACTCCATCTCAGGTCATAATTAGGAAATAATGAAATAATTTTCAATTGCTGTCACACAGAAATGCTAGTAAGGTTATTCCTTTGCACTCAGCTCCAAATATAACTAAAACATACTTCTCATTCTTAATAAATCCATTCAATGTTTAAAAAGGAGGAATAGTTTTAGTACAAATAAAATTTTCAGCTGAATCTGTGAATTTGATATGGTTTAGGAACTTTCAGCCACATATGTATGCTATAACAAGTCCTTTCAGAGGGTCCAAAGAGTATCCCTTACTACAGGGAAAGAGCTCAGTGATGTAGGTTCTGGTCATAGCACCCATCACATGGAATAAAGTGAAGAATGTATACTAAAGTCTGACACAGAGTCTGATAATAATAAAATGGCTTTACTTAGTTTCATGGAAATTTATTTTTTCTGGTTTAATTACTAACATTCTAACTTTTGCTTTGTGGCCTAGAAGGGCATGACTTTTTTTGTATGAAAATTTTACCACAAAAATTGCATTTTGGCACATATCCCCTTTACTACCATGACATTTCCCAGTGTTTCCACTGAGAATAAAATAACATCACTGTAGCATGTAAGTCTATTTCTTACATGGAGAAGTAACAGCAGAAAATTATTGGCTGTATATTTGACTTTTTGACATTTAATGGCTAGAAACAGGGAGCTTTCTTACAAACACTGAATTAGGGAAGTCCTCCTGGCTCACCAGCAAGAGCTACAAATTCATAAACAAAAGCTCAGCAAACTAAGCCATTTCCAGATACATATGAAAGGCATATGAGCCTTTTAAGGGACTTTACTGTAGTTTTCTTTCATTTTGAAAGGTATTTCATGTCTCCATCACACAGTAGTGTTGGGCAGAAATCAGACACCTTTCCAGTCCTGTTTTACCTAGCAGTAGGCACAGATGTTAGCCAAAATCTACAGCACAGATCAGATCTGAAACACTACTATTATAGTCTGAACTTCATCTCATACATGTAGACATACGATGATCTAGTCAAAACCTGATCAATGCAATGGGCAACCTACTCTATTTGGCCCCCTTTCTAGCAGGGAGGATGGACTAGACAATCTGCAGAGGTCCTTTCCAACCTTAGCTATTCTGCAGTTCCGTGATGGGATGATGACTGAAGCCAGATCAAGAAGTCATTAGTTTCTTTCCTGAACTGTAATTTATGGCTGTTTGGTCTATTGCTATGAAAACAGGCAAGAACTGAGCTCAGGGGAGAGACCTGAAGTATGGTGTGGAAGGAAGAAAAGAAGTGGGAGAGTTCCAGGCACTGGTAGTGGCAGAGAGAGGGGAGATACTTCAACATAATCTTTTGGCTATGTGCGACCCCTTTCATGGCCATGCTTGGCTTACATACAGTTCCATTCCTGAGGACAGCCAGGAAAAAAAACATTAATAGCACCAAGTAGTTTCCACCTCCCCAAAGAATGATAGTCCTCTCTGGCTGACCTCTGTAACAGGCTTGTCAGCCAGGAAAGGGCTCTGTGCACTCAACCAGAAGCTTATGGTTGTGCTCCTTCCCTAGGAGGCATGCTCACTGGAGTTCCCAGATGCCATTCCCAATGGTCCTGTTGCCTAATATGGTCCTCTGTCAAAGCATTGTCGGGGGGGCTAGTGGTGGAGAAAGTGTTGCCTCTCGCATGCACTCCTCAGCCCCTTAGGAGAAGGAGTGTCATTTGCTGGGTTGTAATGATGCTTCAGGGGAAAGAAGCTGCTGAAGGTCCAGTTGCTGCTGGATTGATATCATAGCGCCAACTGGGCCTTCTACTAAGCAACTGAAGTTAACATCTGCCTCACAGTTTCTAAGACAGAAGGTAATGATCTCTTTTTTAAAGTTCTTTATTTAAGAAGGCAAGAATATTGCATTTCAGTGGGTTGTGTCATGCTAAACACAGACCTTGGTTATTCATTGGTTGTGAAACTTAGAAAGCAGCTGACTATATATAATTCTACAGCAAGAAAAGGAATTAACTTAGTAGACCTTTCCACACGGCTACTCAGAAAGGATAGTATGTTAAGAAGTGCAGTTAAGAAGTGTAGTTAGGAAGTAAAGTAAAAGCACAACTGTCACTTAGATAACATCTTCAGAAATGCTTTCATGCCTCAGTCATATCATGAGATGCATTCAGGATCCAGTCTGACATAGGATATGAGGACTTAGAGCCAAGACACTTTTATTTGTGATTTATAATTATCCATGCACACATACACTTTTGAAAATCAACAGGAGATGCAATTTGACCCATTACCAACAATTTTCCATCACTGTTCCACGTTTACTATGTCCATTTTTTTCAGATAAAATAAGACTTAAAATCTCTTGCTATGCATATAGATAACTAAGCTTTAGAAAGTTTCATGAGATTGCCCATATGCTAAACTTACGGAAATGATTAAAAACCATGTTAAAAATATAATTCCATTTTAGGTCTGGCTGCACTGACATACGACCTGCAATAACCACAAGAAGCTTTGGCAGGGAACTAGCTGCGTGCTTATGTGTGGTGGCCAGTTTTCAAGGGCTCTAAATTCCCAGTTCCACTGGCTTCTGTGACAGCAACAAGCATAAAAACTCCCTGACATCATATATATTTCTTTTCACATGGGAGTATAAACATAAAAAGGCATTCTGGCAGTTCTAAAATTGTCTCCAGGTCCTACTCTAATACTGTGCTGGGAGCAAAGTATTCTGGAGACTTGCAGTTCAGACCATTTGAGAGCTACAGGTTACCAGCAATCACACTGGGAAAGAGATCTGGCTGGATAACCCTTCTCACCTTGTGATTCTGTACTCATGACCAGGCTTGTTTTAGATAGGCTTAGGAACTCTCAGTGATATTGGAAATTGAGTAGTGGTTGTTTTTTGGTTTGGTTTGGCTTTTTTGTGGGTTTCAGTTGTTTTTTTTTTTCTTAAATGAAGGAAATGAGCATTAAATCAGGGCTTGTACAGTCTAAAGACAGCATTTCACCATCACTAGGCTGGAATGCTCACAAAAGGGAAGAGGAGAATCTCCTGCACTAATTTCTCCTGCAGTTAGTTATAGGTTGGTTACAACCCAGAAAATACTCTGGTCTGAAGAGCCAAGGGATTCTGGATCTCACCCAGTCTGACCAGAGGTCTTACTCCCATTTACCTGGAAGGGAAACCAGGACTATAGCTGCATCATCATGGATACAGGTATGATATCTGTTCTGTGTCACAGCAGCATATTAAAGTGACTTTCATATGTCAAAGAGCACGAGGATGGTCAATGCTTTTTGTCACAAAGATCTGTCAACATCAAACTTGTGTCAAATTTAAGTAGGTGGATTAAGCTTGCGGACATAGTCTCAAGGGATCAGACATATAACTATTACATAGGCATTCCTAAAGTGCTGACTCTGCTACTCAGACAAAAATAGACAAAATACTAGTTTGGGGAAAGAACACGGCTCACCCCATCCCTTGTGCAGTTGTTGTGTGTAAGGATTGTCCCCTCTGTGTGGACCCTGTAAAACGTAAGAACTGCCATTGTGACACCATTGCTGTTTTAACCTGGGGTGGGTGCTACATTTAAAT